CCCCCACCCCACCCCATGTGACTCACCAGAACTGGGCCAAATCATCAAGACAGGAGGCTGGCAAAGCCACGTCCCTCCTCAGTCAAYGTGGCCCCTCTCTCTCTCCCTTCCCTATTTGATTAATGACAGAGATTCCTTTGAGGGGCTTTGTTTTCTAGTATGCAGTTTTATGCATTGTTTCAACAATATTGAATGTCTGTTCCCTGCCAGGCAAGATGAATGGGGTCCAGAAAGAAGACGGGTAGGAGACAGGGTATCCCTGCCACTGTCTCTGCTTCTCCCAACTTCCTCGGCATGGCACCTCTTAAATGCTGTGTGCACACAGAGCCATGTTGGATCAGGGGTCTCTCCACGACTGCACACATTCCTAAACCAGGCGCCCTACCCTCAAAATACAAACTGTGCAAGAGTTTCCCCCAAATGACAGTGACTTCAAGATGGYCTGGTAGACCACCAACACCAGAGGAGCTCTCTGAGGCCCTTCAAAACCATTTGATTCCTTGTGTCGTGAACCACTTGACACCCTCTCCCACTGTGWAGTCCTTTAAAAAGAAAGAAAGGATAGTAAAACAACATGCCCCTTTTTCTATTCCCAAAAGCCTAGTCAAGTTAGGGGAACAATGAGAACAAGTGTGGCTGGAAAGTCCAGATACATATTCCCCTGAAGGACTCGGGCTTCCTCTTCTGCACATTGGGATCCAGGGCAAGTCAGAGTTACCTGGAGAAAGCTGTTTACTTGCATGCACACCGGGAGAGTTGCTTCCTGGGCGGCTGTTCATAAAAGCAAACTAAGCAAGCTAACGCTGAGTATCACTATCCTACAACTTAATATATAAAACCCCCCTTTTGGTGGCGACTGGTGTAAAACCGAGGGCACTGTGGCAAGGATACATGTCACTAGTCCCGCTGGCCCACCACTGGACAGGATGCTTGGCAGAGCACCTCGAGGTACGGAGGAGCTCTCTCTGTTCAATCCACTGCCACAGAACTCCTCGTGGGGCAGCCTCTGATCTCTGGTAAGCTTTCCCCAGTGAGTCATATGCTTGAGGGCTGTCTCTAGGCCCTTTCTTTGGCTTTTCTGCAACCTACTCCGTTTCCCCGGGGCACAACTGGGCCTGCAGATGTGACACCTACCCATTCACCAAGGAAAATGAGTCCATCGCATGCCCAGAATCCATTTTGAACAACTTTTATTATACGTTTAGTGTTCTCTATACAAAAGAAATCAGTCTTTTTTTTTTTTACAGTGATTCAAAAAAAATTCGGAATAATTTGGCCTTTTCATTGTTCATGCAGTCAGTTTATAAGTCCATGTATTAGACGATCCTCCACAGCCCAGAAAAATCTTCCCTTCTGAAGGTCGCGGTGACGCCCTCAGATACGCATCTGTCGCCGACAACGTTGGTTAATGCAAAAATCAACTCACGAAAAGGAAAGAACACGATGTGAGAGGGGTTAAAACAAGGCCTACTGTGGAGAGTTACATGTTTAACCAATGGAACCAAGATCAGACCGATGGGCGGGCGTGTGGGGACATGGGAAGGGATGGAGACGCGGGAAGAATTTCCCCATCAAAAGAATACATGGGAATGGTGTGTGGGGCGCAGGGCCCAGGTCTTCTGGGGTCCGGCATGGGCTGGGGGTGGGACCAGGACAGAAGGCGGCCATGTCACAGGCGACTAATGCTCAGCTCGAGAGGAGTGAGAAGAAGTTGGCAAAGAGCTGGGGAGCCGGGCAGAGGGACAACACTGACTGAGGACATTGCATTTGGGAATCAGAAAAAAAAGAGCAGGCCAGGGTCATCTGATCTGCATCATTTTTCAAAAAACAAACCGAGTAATACACAAAATTCTGGATATCTCTTCCCAGACTTTTGTGTTTATTGCTTCTCTGAAGTCTTTACAGCGGCTGAACTCCAGCCCAGCAAATCCCAGGTGGCAGGCTCGCCAGAGCCCTGCTGCCCCCTCAGCACCTTGCAGCCAAGAAAAGGACAGAGACCCCTCTGCACCCTCACTTCTGGGGAATACAGTGTGCTGAGGGTCCAATACATGATGGAGCGAGAGTTGCCATGCTGGGGTGGGGGGTACAGTCTAGTTTCACAGTAACAGATATCGATCAGCCGGTCAGTTCCAGTCTAGTAGCCAGGGCCGCCTGTCACTGCAGGGCTGGGTTAACTGCACAGACAGGCTGATCGTGAACTCAGAAAAATCTTTTTTGTCTTTCATTTGGGGAGGTCTTGGGGGGATGTGCAGGTGGTAGAGGTATGGCAGGGGGAACCAGCCRGGCAGATCTGCAGTAATACCTCTGCTTTAAAGGAGGCAGTTGTGGTGAGAACACTGGACAAGGAGCCAGAAGGCCCAAGTTCAAGTCCTAATCCTACCTAAACGTCCCAGCTCTGTGGTGTTGAGCAAGCCCCTGTGCTTGCCTGCCTGCGTCCTCATTTCTTTGTCTGCCCAATGAGTCATTTCAATTAGATCAGCTCTGAGATTCTTTCACAGGCTGAAATCTGACTGTCCTGAGCCAGATGCCTTGGTATCTGTTTCATTTCCACCCTTATCGCCATGAGCATCCATTTAATACTAAGGTACTCCTAAGAGGAGCCCTGCCTCCCAAGGCGGCTTAGGTGCTGTTGTGTGGGTCTTACAGCTTTCTCTGGGTGGTCATCCTCTTTCCCCTTGGCCCCTCCCCTGAAAGTGTCTCAGGAAGGCCCCTTCCTAGAAAAGGACCAAAAGAAAGCGTACTTCTTTGGGCTTGGACTGTGCCACCAGGTCCAATGGAGCTCATGCAGGGTGACCCTGTCTATTAAGGGAGGGGCCTGGCCAGGCCTGGCATTGGCCAACTTGCCTATGTCTCCCAGGGCGCAGAGTCTCCTTACACTTCAAGCTCTTTGCTTTATTGGTCTGAGTCTTCCGTTTTTAATCAGTGACCTCCCACACGCTACTCCGTCACACATAGTTCAGGCAGAATCCTTCATTTCACTAGAAAGAAGTCACTCCGTGGGCCTAACTGGGTGGACCCGACCACAGCCATGGGCTTAGGTTTGGCAAGGCTGGTTGGACTGGTGCCTTGGGACCCCACCCAAAGTTACGAGTGGGAGGCAAGCTCTGGGCTGGCCTACCAGGTAGGAAGCTGCTGCCTTCCCACTGAGAAGTGTCCCTGGCCCCAGTCTCAGCCCATGGAAGCCTGAGAAATTTCTTGCTTTCAGATTATCAACCTCACAAAAGCTGAGATAAAAATGCACTGAATCCCTGCTCCTTCCATCAAAGGCTGAGGGCAATGCCCTAAGACTTGGCTGGCCTCCAGGACATGCCCTGAAGGCTGCAGCTCCTGGGGAATGTTTTCCTCTCTTTTGGATCACTCTGTCTCTAGGTCCTGCCCACAGCAGTCACCCAAATAGGGCCTCTCCCCTCCCCCAGGCTGCGCACCATGCCTACACGCAGCCCTTTGAAGCTCATCTCACAGGAGCCCGGGCAYGGACTGACTCTCTCCAGGACAATGACCTGGATTGCTCCCTGCTGGAGGCACTGCTCTGTGACAGTTCTGCTGTATGGATGTGAGCACATGTGGGTGCTCAGTAGCAGGGAGCTGTCCCTTAGCTAGAAACCCCACAAACCCTTGCAGATCTGCTTGCACTCCCTTCCCAACACTAACTGTGGTCAGGGAAACCAGGGGCGCACCATCTGGGCCCACGGTGCAGGCGCACCTTGTAGGATGAGCGACGTTGGCACTGGCTCACTCTCATCACTTCCAGACCTCAGGACTTGCCAGCAAGCGGGTACACCAGATGTCTCCGACCTCGCAGGGTGACAGAGCAGGGACAGGGAGGGGTGGGTCTGGCTTTCCTCTTAGCATCAACTCAGCCATCTCTTCAAAAGCAAGACTGGGAAATACATGACCTATTCACCATAACAAGGCAGGGCGGGAGGCAGCTATCCTGACCTCCGTGCTCCTTCAGGTGGACCCCTGTTGTCTGTTCAGAGAGGTATTGAAAGGAGGGACGAATGGGGGCACAGGCACAGGAGTAGACAGGTTAAGCAACTCGCCCCAAAGGGCAGAGCAAAGAGGCTCCAGAAGCAGGACTGATCCTCTGCCCCACCCAGCGGGTCTTGACTGCCCTGTCCTGCATGGTCTTGCTGACCAGCCGGACTAAGTCCTGGAAACTTCTCCCTTCCACTCTGGAGCCATCAGAGGCTTGAGCAATGAAAGGCAGAATGCTCCCGACTCAGTGGCTCCTGTCTCAAGATGGTTCCAGTCATGTCAGTCCTGCGAGGGCTGAGACCACTCCTGACCTGCCTCACCTGGTACTCAGGGTTCAAGCATTGGCCCGGCTGGATCTTCAAAGAGTATTGATGAATGGACACGAGGGCAGACGAGCGCTCAGGCAGCTGCAGCACTGTGGCTGAGCACATTGGCAGATGGCAGTTCTAGTCGATGGAACTTTTAGAGCCACTGTAAGATGACCACCTGCCCCACCCGGAGAGGCTGAAGCACCAATGGTAGGGCCCACTCCTGGTGTTGTTGTGAGGATGTTTTGGGCAGTTGCTTGAGAGGCCCAGCTAGCAGGGAGTGCTGGGCAATACTGCTTTCCTGTTGAGCTGGATGGACCGGCATGGGTGCTACGGAAAATGGCCTCTCCTCTTCCTCTAAGGAATGCCTCCTTAGCCCTGCCACCCACACACCTCCAGTCTTGAGCTCTCTGAGCACCCGTCATCTTTGCTTGGGGAAAGCGGTTCTTCAGTCCCAAATGCTCCTGCTATGGTCTTGTGGTGGTGGTGGTGTAGGGGGGGCAGCTGTCAGCACTCACAAAACAACAGCCCGAGAGAGGCACTAACTGCAAAGGACGATGGTACAGAGGATGATGGTACAGAGCACGGTGGGACACTGGAACAAGGTGCAAAGATGACCTGAGCTGACCTTTCCCCAAGACCCTTCAGATAGAGAAAGCCCCTCAAAGCCATTGGTTTGTGCAACAGACTTTCCAGAGGTGAGGAGATGGCTCTGTGATGTCAGACAGCCTCTTCCTCCCTAGGGCCTTCTGTGAATGGGCTCACTAGCATGGACAAAGCAGGGCGAAGTGAGGGCCTGAGAAACTGACTGCTCAGGTCCAAAGCATATTCTGGAAAGGCTGGTCATTTGATTCAGCTCACAGGTACATGTCCCTGACACTTCCCTTCAGGGACAGTGGGCCTAGACTGCAGGACTGCTCAGTTGCATCCAAGCAGGAGTTGGAAGAGAGCCAGGGGACAGGACCCTGAGCTCATCCCCAGTCCCCTTCTCTTTACCCTGTCCCCTTTCACCATGAGAGAGCTGCCTCTCAGGCCTCTGGGCAGCAGACCTGGGGGCAGCTTGGGCCACAGGGCCATTACTTTCTAGTTCAAACAACATTATTGGCTCAGCTCTGGGCTATGGTTTCTTATCTGCAGACAGAGTGCGTGTGTGCCTATGAGCTTGACCTTCAGCTGAATGATTATTAAGTGATGTAAGCATTGCTAATACCTCTGTGGCTTAAACATGTGGCAAATGATGCTTTAATAAAGTCTCTGAAGGACACGGCCCTGGTCCTTTCCGGGCCCCTGGATGGCAGCTGGAGGCTCAAACTGGAGGCTGCGTCAGTAGCAGGTGATCCATTCCTGGGGCTCAGCCTCACCCTCCTGAAACCGACTTGAGCTACAGAAACAGTGACAGGGGCACACGCAGGCTCAAGATCTCCCTCTCTCTGCATCACTGAGGCTAGGTACCTTTGGTTTCAAAAATGAATTAGGTGGGGAGGGTGAAGGCAGCACCTTCGGTCTGAGAATTGCAGGTCTGCGAGTCTCCATGTGGGCAACGGGGTAAGGGTGTGTATGGAGTGGCTGCTTGTGGTCCTGCAGGGACACTTGCATAGGCTGCCCTGATTCTGAGTCAGACGTCACTGGAGGCTTCAAGGCTTGCAGGGAGGGGCTGGGAACCTGGGAATTCCAGGGACAGATCAGAACTGCATAAGGCATACGAAGAGCACTGAGTCCTCTCTGGGTGGGGGCGTCACAGCACTGTTAGATGGCGCCACCACAGGGTCCCCTGATATGTATATATACCCTAATGAAAGGACAGACAGGTTCAGTCTCGGGGCAGCAGGTCTCCACCCACACATCACGTCAAACACGAGTCTCAACAGCATAAAGAATTGACCAAGGAGACGACCGACATCTGCTAGAGGAGGAAGAGGGTGGTGGTTTACACCCCCRAACACACCAGCAAGGCTTCTGCATTGCAGGGTTCCAACTCCTTGAGGGTAGCAGCGTAGACCCTGGCCAGGTGGGCGGATKCCCTCTGCTCTGGACATGGTGGGTGTGGTCCTCTCTCCTACATCCCTGTATTCACTGATGGGAAGGAAGGAGTCCAAACCCAGCCCTTTGCTTCTCTCCAGAGGTGCTCACAGTTCCCAAGAGACCAGACCCCTGACTTTCTTCTGCTGAGGTCCAGTCATTGCAATTGAAGTTCGTACCATCAGTGCCCACTCCTGTGCCTCCAGCTTCTCCTTCAAAGTCAGTGCAGCTCATTCTTGGACACTCTGGAGGCAGGGGCAGGGTAAGAAYGAGGAGACAGAGGTAAACTCACCTCCCAAATGAACCAGAGAGGGGCGAGGCGACTGCCCACCCTCTCCCTGCCAAAAAATACTGTCATTTTCCAGGAAGGAGCCAAGCCCAGCTCAGCAACTGACAAGACAGAGGCAGATGGGTTGGGAGCAAGGGTGGGGGACAATATGGCAAAGAAAGGCATCCTCCGGAAACATGCTGGCCCAGCGGCGGTTTGAATACTACGGCTCTTCTCTACGTTCTGTTAGGGATCCGTCCTTTCCGTCTCTTTGTGGTTTCCTGGGGGGAGAATCCACCTATTCTTTCTTTTTCCAGGAACACATCTTCAAAAGAAAATGGAGACATTGGGTCTGGAGGTTTGGAAGATGCACAAAGCAAAAATAAAGTCAATGAAAGTACGGTAACCGACAGGACCAGGCAAGGGTGTGGGCCGAGGCCAAGGCGGGYGGTGGGATGGAYGCTCAGGGTGGCTGCGAGATGGGGCAAGGGACCAGGGTTCCCTCAGGTGAGCTTAGTCACGGCTCTAGCTCTCCCACACTGGTGGCACCCAGGGGTGTGGGGGGTCATTGGGAGGGGGCTTGTGGGTAGCTGGGTGGCCACTGATCCTCACAGYTTGGCAGACCCCCATTTTGTACCCTTGTCCCTGAAGGTGGTGGAGGCTTTGTGGTCGGTCTGCAGTGGCTTCGTCTTCCCCTCTCCCCTCCTCCCACTTTTAAAGTAGTGGCTGTGCCCCGGTGGGCTCCGTTAGGCCAGAGAATAGATGGCATTGACGGGTGATGTGGCCTCTGAGCTCTCGTTGCCCTCTGTTTCCTCCTTGTCCTTTTTGACCGTGTACTGGCCAATGAAGGAGCCATCTTCATTGAACTGCCCTTCGCCGCCTTCCCCATAGTCCACCAGGCTGTCGTCACTTTCCTGCTGCTTGATGGTTCCGTCCAGAGACGTCTGGCTGCCCTGCAGGGGCTTGTTGTCCTCATCACTGGCCAGAGAGAGACAGAAAATCAGGACCTAGTGGGTCCAGCACAACCCAAACCAGGTAGGGTGGGACAGGGCAGTGGACTTCCTGCCAAGCACAGGCCCTGGGGATCARCCAGGCCCCATCCTCCTTGTCCCACGGGTGCTGCAAAAGGAAAGCTAAGAGGCCCAGTGAGGACAAGCATCTTCCTTAAGGGGAGATGGCATGGGTGCAGGGCAGGGATTGGGGAGCAGGCTTCTGGATTCCTGGTGTGGGATCCTTCCCACATGACAGGCCACTATCACAGTGGGAGGAGGTAGAGGATGGCCACCCCATGAGAGGCAGAGCCTTAGCTTGTGAGATCACGTGGGGTGGCAAGAGTCAGGACAAGGAGTTCTAGTCCTGAGTATGCTCCTGTGACCTGTCCATGGAAGGTGGACCTCCTATGACTCTGCAAGGCAAKGCTCTGCCCTTGACCAAAGCAAGGGTCTTGCTTTGGGATCAGACCTTCCCCCACCTTGCCACCTCCTTGTCTCTGTGCTGCTCCCTTGGTTATCTGGCTCATCCACAAACAGGTGCTCCTGCTTTGGGCCTAGCACGTAAGAGAGGCGGGGTCGTGGGAGACAGGGGCATACAGAGAAGCACTCGAGACCAGCAATTTGAGCACTAGGAAGGCTTGGAGGGTTCTGCCAGCCCCAGCCCCCAGCCCTGTTATTCAGCTCTCTCCCCGGAGAGCTGGAGGCAGGTTGGTAAAGTGGCACTGGCCCATGGGGCCCAGATGCTTGATCTGAATAGCTGCACCCTGAGCCATTTCTGCCCCTGGCTAGGAAAACTCTGTGTGCCCTTTAGGCTCAGAGGGGGGACCAGGTGCTGCTGGCTGCACTTCAGAGGTGAGCTGGGCTCCCAGGCACACAGCAGATGTGGACCAGCGGTAGGGACTGGGGGGCCCAGCAGGGGGGACCACAGTGGTGCCAGGCAGTCTAGGCAGACATGCCGCACCCTTCTCTGCTCCTAGCCCACTCTAAGTCCTTCCTGGATATGGGGAAAGCAACCAGCTGAGGTGCCATTACAGCAGGCAGTGCATTCTAATAACTGCACTGGGCAAAGACAGCCGTCGGGGAAGGCCTCAAGCTGGAGCCAGAGCTGARCAAGATACAAGAAAAGCCATTAGCCCAGTCCCTCCAGGGCACCGAGTGAAGGTGGCCCATTAACACAGCTTCCCGGTGCTCTGCGGGCAGTGCTACAGGAGGGACAGCGGTGGAGGGAAGCCAGTGGGTCTCTAGGGTTGCGCTGAGTTTGTGCAGGAAGTGGATCTCTCTTTGCGAACTGGCAGAATTCATTGCCAGGCTCCTCAGCCCCCTTGCCAGTCTTTCACCCTGCACTCTTCCCTAGGCCCTTTGCCCCACCGCAGGAGCAGGAGAATTATTATGCAATTTGGGGGGAATTCCTGTCCCMGTTTCAGGCGTATCCACTGGACAGAGGTGGCCCCAAAGGGGAGGGTTCAGGGTGGAGGTTCTTGAGGGTAAAGGGGACCTAAGTCTGGAAGAGCAGATCTCACTTAAAGGAAGCTTGAATAAAAGAGTGGCCCTGGTCTAGTCACCTATTGGCCTGGCCTCCGCAGACCCTCAATATCCAAGAGGACAGATTTGCAGGGAGAGAGGCAGAGAGCCCCATCAGAACTCAGCCACAGGATGGAGGAAGATGAGGAGGGAGAACACACCTCCTGGCTCTCCGGCCTGCACTCGAGCAGCTTAGTTCTTCCTCTCACTTATCTGGGACTTTTCCCAGTCTGAGACGCTTGGACTCATGCACCTGGGGCTCTAGGATGGATGCTGCAGGGCCTGTGCTCAAGGTSAGCACGTGTGCCCATGCTGGCTGGGCATGCAACTCCTGAACACAGTGGGCYTTGGGGACAGCGCGCAGCAGGTGCTTTAGCCCAACAGCTTTGTTTTCCAGGGGAGGAGAGAGGCACGTGAGGAAGCAGCTTCTCTTAGTGTAGGATGCCCACCCTGTATGTCCACCTCTGGCTATGCTGAGGGTCTGGGGGAGAAAAGACACCTTGGCCTTGGAAATGAAGACCAGCTCATAGGGAAGTTGGACCCTGCCAGGGGAGCCTGGGAAGAAGGGGCTGCATCTCTGTGCCTGTCCTTCGGGAAGGACGCTGGAACTGTTTGGCTGGCTGTGGCTCCTAAGCTGCCAGACCGGCACCCATGTGGGCAGTGACTCCGCTCCCATTGGTCTGTTGAGGCTTGCCAGGCTGCTGATGGGCAGAGAGGTGGAGGCCCAGAAAGGATAAAGAGAGGCCAGAGAGCAGCGGTGACCTGGACTGGCTAGTAACCAGGTGGGGGCGGGGAAGGAAGGCCCTGAACAGACCTTTCCACTCACTTGGTATGAGAATAAGATTCCATGACCCACCCAGCACCATTCCTGAAGGTTTTTTTTTTTTTTTTTTTTTGGTGGTGCTGGGGATTTTCTGCCTCATTCTTGAATTCAGAATATACCTGCCATTCAAAGGGACAGCTGACGATTTTGTTAAATTGAGATACAAAGTCCTGTTCAGATCCATAGGAGAGCAGCACTGGCTGGCAGTCCGGCCCCTGTCCTCTCCAGCTCTGCCACTGGGAAATGAATGTGGGGGCTTGGGCAGGTCTCTTCCCAGATGGGCCTCAGCCCTGCCACCTGGGACACAGGGCACTGGACCTCTCCGAGGCCCATCTACCCTAGAGCCCACAGACGTCACCAGGTTCGAGAGGAAAGAACCTAGACTTCTTTGCCCCGCCCCGTCACTGCCTGAGGCTTAGACACTACATCCCCCTGGTCATTATCCTCAGGGTTAGGGGTGGTTGTCAGCAGAGAAGCTGAGAGTGGAACTCATTTCACAGCACGGGGGCCCAGGCTTCATTTTTAGAGGTAAATGGTAGAAAGAAACATATAAGCAGCTTGAGTTGTGCAATTGTGTGAATGGAGTGTGTTGGGGGTGGGGGAGCAGCCTCGTCCTCTTTGGTCAGGACACACAACCTCTCTGACCACGTCCTCTGCCCAGGCACGGCCAGAGAGTCAGAGGTGACAGCCCAGTGGGTGAGGATGTGGACACAGTGCCTTGTGGCCCAGCAGCTCTGAGGGGAGTGGGCTGCCTCAGGGCAGGAAGGACAGCTGCCAGTCAGGGGGAGGAGATCCCGCACCTGTAGTCAAAGGAGCCATCCTCTTCTTTGGGGTCTTCAGGGCCAAGGGGAACGTCCTTCTTTTCTCGTACTTGGTCAGTAAGAGAAGACAGACACTGATTAAGAGTAGGCCCCTGCTCTCCAAGGCCCTACGGCAGGTGGGGCCAGAGGACACCGCCCTGGGCCTGCCCTCACCTCCCACCCCTCGACTCTCTTTAATAAGACACCACACTACCATCTAGCCACTTTTAATAAGATGCCATCAATTCTTCCCAAAGTCAATCCCTTGATTCTGCCTCCTCCTGCTCACTCCAAGGGCTCTCTTTACATCCCTGTTAACAACTAAATGCCCTCCCACCAAGCTCCCACTGCCTCTGCATGGGCTCCTCCCCACACCCTGGTAATGTGACCCTTTCCTTCACCAAAGGCACATCCTCCCTTGTTCATACCCTTCCTCCGCTCTGTATTAGAATCCTTTGTGCACAGTTCCTGTGCCCCTAACAGAATGCAGTTCTCTCCTCAGGGTGGGGACTGTGTGTTTCTCCAAAGCTGCTGGCAGAGTGCCCTGGTCAGGGAAGACACTTGTCACACTGGGGATGGAGGGGCTCTCCTATCTGAGTCTTTACTGAGGTGCCCTTTTCCTATGCACCCAGCCTAGGCCTGCCTTGCTGTGCTGTGGCCATTCCCTAGGAGTCAGCTGCAATGTCAAGGACAAACATCTCTCCTTTGGTATCCCTGGCACCTAAAACAGGCTGGCATGCAGCAGGCACTTACCTGAGGGTTCCTTTTTAATATATTTATTTATTTTTGGGGTAGTTATTGGGGATTGGACCCAGGACCTTGCACATGCTGGGCAAGCACTCAACCTCTGAGCTATACCCCCAGGCCCACGAGGGATGCTTTATGTGTTCTTTTAAAAATACAAGTCAGGACAATCACTCCTATTTTCAGTGAGGGGAACTGAGGTCTTGAGTGGTGAAGAACAGATCACATAACTAATTAGCAGCCATATGAAGCTGAGAGGACAATTGGTGCTGGCCCTGGGCTCCTGGGTCTCCGTGTTTTTAACATGCCAGGGACCTACCCTGGAGCTGGAGGCAGGGAGGAGGGCTTTGGAGGGCTTTCTGGGAGGAGGATGGAGCACTTTTGAATAGGCTCAGAGTATATTTGGTGAGTTCCACTGGGATGGGAATGACTTTGTGAGTCCTCCCAAGTCTTGATGTTACGTGGAAAGCTGGACTTCTCCCTAACTCTGGCTTTTTCTCTTATGGAAGGAAAAGAGTTGCAAGAACAAAGTGAAAAAGCATCCCTCACTGGTAAGGAATTACAATTTCCTGAGCTCCCTCACTGCAATGGAAGCAGAACCCCARGGCCCTAGGGTCTGAGTGTAGGAGGGCAGGGGAAGGAAATAAGACAGAACCTCCTCTCCCTTCCAGATCCTTTGTGTTGAGCTTTGGCGAGGACCTCTGTATAGTGACAGGGAGAAGGRGGTGTCTGGGGAGTGTGGGGTGGTCTGGTCATGGGGCTCTGGAGCAGGGAGTGACTTCATCCTGCAGCCCAGCAGGAGTTCTGCTCCAGAGTCATCCATTACCCTGTCTCCTGTCACCCCACCCACCCCGTCATAGACAGATGGCTTGCTTGCCCCTGCTTGAAAAACAATCAATATTTTCAGAAACAAGAATGCCAGAGGTCCTTGTTCTTGACCTTGGTTTGTCTGGGCTGGAGGATCTTGGCCATAGAAGAGAAACGCCTCTTTGGGACTCAAAGCCCTTTAAGTGCTGTGGGGTTCAATCAGTGCCATCCACTCCTCAGCCTCTCCCTGCTCCCCCTTTCCAGTTATCTGAGATCCCCTTTGTCCCGCGGAGGGGCCAGCTCTGCCACCTCTTTCATGGGTGTGCCCATCTGCCCAGACCCCTTCTCTTCCCATGTTATCTAAAATGCCTCTCTTCCTTCCTCCTTCCCTGGGACACAGGGTCCTAATGAGATTCAGGCTGGAAAAAAGCCAATTTGTGAAGCAGATGGGTGGTGAGTCAAGGCCAGGGAAGGTCAACCTCAGCAGGAKCCAGGGTTCCTTCCATCCCTCTCTGGAACGGCCTGGACCTCACCATCCGCCCACCTCAGTGGACATAATTAACTCAAGTTCTTGCYGGTGGCACTAATGCAAAGAGCAGGCTGAGAGGGCCACGGTTCCAAGTCTCGGACTGGGCAGATCAGGCGGGTGACCTGGTGACTGGTGGGAAGGTTCCCTCACCTGCTTCCCTCACGGGTCTCACCTGGGTACTTGCCACCGCGACTCCTCTTGATGAAGCAGACAATGAGCAGGATCAGCACCAGGAGGGCGATGGCGCACATGAGCCCAATGAACCAGCCCTGGGTGGCGATGTCCGCCTGGTTGTTGGTGTAAGCTGGGGGGGGGGGTCAGAAGCAAATCCATGAGTGAATGCATGGTGTGTGGGGGGAGGGGAGCCCGAGGCTCAGCTATGGCACATGGATGGTTCTCCTGGAGCCTAATACTACCATCTAGCCACTCTTTGGCCCAAACTATCTGGCTAAAGGGACAAAAAGAAAACAGTTAAAAAGAGCCAAGTTCAAAAGATCAGAAAAAACGCAAAAGAAAGGCGGAAAGGCGTGCAGGGAGCGGAGAAGCGGCAGGAGGCTGAACAGGTGCTTTAGGAAGGGCATTTCCTCGGGACGAGGCTGGGCATTCTTGCAAACCAGAGGGATGGCCACAGCCTAGTGGGGACTCAGAGGAGGCCAGGGACTGTCTGTGGAAGCACAAGTCCTGTGAATGGTTCTGCATGCCACCCATGGGAGCGCGAGCTGAGGTCATGCTGCGTGCACCCGCTGCCAGAGGCCTGGCGGGCCTGCACAGGTGCAGAGCCATATCCCTGCCCACAGCGGGGTGCCAAGGTAGCCAGCTGTCTTCCTGGCAGTGGGTCCTGGGCCAGGTGGAGGAACAGGTCGTCCTGTGCCTTTTCATGTCTGCCCAGCTGGGCTGAGCCGGCAGCAGACGGTCCAGGCCAAGGTTCCCCCAGACAGGATGGCGCTGATGCTGGGGCTGCACCTTCTACTCACTCCATCCCACTTCCAGACACTGCCCCATGAGAGGGCCCTGGTGGCCTGTGACACATCCCCTCACCCTCTTCTTGTCCCTGTGACAGTGCCCTCTGTCTATGCCTGGAGACCTGCCTAAGATCCCTTTGGTTTTGAAGGGCACACAGGAGGGCCTAAAGAACAGGAGCCCGGGTGGTGTCCACAATGGGTGGGATTGGGGCTTAGGAGCACATGCTCAGGACCCTCTCTGTTTCCCTATCTCTGGACTAAAGAAGAAAACACACCTCCAGAAACACAGCCTGTCACAGACACTGAAGCATGAGGTAGGGAGAGGTCCAAGGAATGGACACGGCCAAGCAGCTCTGGAGCCTGCCCCATCCAGAGAGGCCTGGGAGCACCACACAGCAGGAGGAGTCATGGGACCACAGCACCACGCCTTCCCAGAAGGCGCATGGGAAAAGCATGGGACCCCCAGGGCTCTGTGCGCCCCCCACTCCCACCACATGCCATCTGTGGGCCAATATCTGGGCATAATCACATCCTCCGCTGTTCTTGGGAGCTACGACTGTTTTCTGTGTTTTTCAGTGCCCAGCCCAGGGCACTGCAAAGGGACGGCTCTTAGTAAATGCTGAAGACTGACAGATAAGTGCTCCACCTCCAGATGGACTGCTCTGGAGGTCCAGAGTAGCCCTGCAGCAAACCAGTTGAGTCCAGTAAGAACCCGACTTGTGATGACCCTGATCTGTGTGTGCTGTGGAGAAAAGCTCCATCCGGCTGGCAGACCACTCCCCACACAGTGTCAGAAAAATCTTCCCCAAGCCCCACGTAGAATCAGATCTCTTCCTTGCTTTAACTCTCCAAAGAGTCTCATTGCTTTTGGAGAAAGAGCTGCATTCCTCATCCTTACAGGCTCTGTCAGAGCTGAACCTGGCCACCCCTCTCTAGGTCCCACTCTGCTCACTCTCCATGCGCTAGCCACACTGGCTTTGGTCATTTCTGCCTTGGAGAGTCCCTAAGGACGGCCCTCCTGGATTTCCCCAGTTTAGGCAAAGGCCCCCTCCTCCACCCCCACATAGTCACTCTTGATCAGAAAGCTCTAATTTATCTTTTCCGTAGCACTTACAACTATTTGACAAATTACTACTATTCATTTATACTGATAAGCACTTCAAGGGCCAGGCACCGCTCTGGGCACTTTCCCACACATTATCTATCCATCCCACCACAACCTCATACATTAGGCAGGTTTTAATTTTTATCCTATTTTACAGAGGTAGACATGGAGGCACAGTTTAAATGACTTACTCAAGATTGTGGGGCTAGTAACTGTCAGGGTTCGGATGTGACCCCAAGCTGTCCGGCCCTGGGAGTCTGTGCTCTGCCATTCCACCCTGTCCCTCTCCCCAGAAAATAGGCTCAGGGGTGGGGCTTAGCCTGGTCTCCCCAGGGCTGGAGGCAGAGCCTAGTGTGTGTGGGGAGCTCCACTGCCATTTGCTTGGAAGAGGAACCCTTGACCTTCTTGCCTTTGTTCAGCCCCCCCCCCCACCCCGCCTTGGTCTGAGGGGCCACTGTCCACCTTAAACTCCACCCTGTCCTTCCCAGTTCCTGGCAGGGGGTCTCTGACTTYACCTCAGCTCTTCCAGAGCCCAGCTGGAGGGAGCCCAGCTGGAGGGAGACGCAGGCCCAGGCCTGTTGGGGATTCACTTGACATTCTTCAGCTGGACTTTGCTGCCACCTGGCAATCCTTTTATTCCTCTCTCTGTCCCTCCAGCCAGCCCAACAGCTGTATGTCCAGAACCTGTCCTCCCTCTCCCTCGTGCGGCTCTGACTGCCATCTGCCCACATCTGCGCTGACCTCCCGTATTCCACGGACACTCTGGGGACCCTGGAAGCTTGAAGCCTCTGCAGCTGTCCCCTCCTCCTGCGCCAGAGGCAGGACCCTCTTCTCTCCCTTCTCCCCCAAACTCTCTCCCCTGCCACATAAATGGGACCCAGTGTTGCCTTCCTTGGTCCTTCATTCCCGCAGACTTCTGAACACCCTGGTATCACGTTCCCTGTCTTCCTCTTCGCCGTTTCCTTCCCGTCTGTTAAACTTGTTGAGGTTTCTTGTGTCTTAACAACCCTGAGGAGCGTGCTAGGCCTAAGAGCCCCAGCTCATGCACGGCCCTGTTTAGGGGAACTCCTCCATTTCCCATGGGGCCAGCTCCTGCCCAGTCCATTCTTCAACCCCACAAGCTGAACTCAAGCATCCGTCGCYAAGCCCGCCTCTCCCCAGCCGCCCTCCATGCCCTGCCTCTTACCTATCACGGGACTGGTTCCAACTTCCCAACTGGCAGCCCTCTTACTCATCTCTCTGTTGTCCCTGCTGCCAACTCCACAGCTGTGAGCCCAAAGCTCCCTCCTGGTGGCACTGATGGCATGTGCCTCACTGCCCGCCCCYGCCAGTGACTTGCCACTCTTGCCCCGTCTAATGGCTGCCGGTGCTCTCTCCCATCCACCTCACTGTCTGTTCTAGAGGGGTCCCCTCACATCACGCCCCCAGGGCCAGTGGAGACAGTGAGGCATTATGTCGTGCTCTAGGATGTTTCACGGTAATGCCACCTGCCTTCTCCACCCCAGCCTGGCCTTCAGGGTGCTGTGTAGTCTCCCTCTCYGTGCTTCTGCCCATCCTACCCAAGAGAGCCTGGGCCGCCCTCTTCCAGCTCACCAGCTTTCCACGTTCTCCACCTCCTTCCTGAACCTTCCGTTACTCCAACTCATACCATCTCTGGACTCTGACATGGCTCCCAACTATTCCACACAAATGTAACATTAGATTGTCCTGTTTGCTGGATCCTAATTGTTCTATTAAAGTCTTGAGAACAGGGGATCTTCTTGAGCCCCCTAGTATTTAGCATGATGCTGGTCAAATAAAAGAGATCAATGACTACATGTAATCCTAATGTAATACAGTTAACCTGGGATCCTGCTCTAGGTTTTACCCCTAATGCCACCTAGGGGTCACATTTATGCTGGCTTGCTCACACATGAGGCCCTAGTAGACCAATCACTTCACTTGTGTTTGGACAGTGGCACATATTTTTTGCAGAGAAGTTGATTTTGCCATCTTCTTGGTGCCTATTCTTATCCTCTGRCTGCCATCTCCATGATATTCCAAGTCACAATTCCAAGGCAAAGTGGCCACATGGGCAATTTAGAAAGCAAACATACCTTTCCACTCCAGACAGTACCAGGTGAGTTCAAGCATACCTTCAGTCCTTACTGAAGGGTCAAAGAATTTCCTATGACATAGAAGGCACTGATGGCAGATGCCTCACATACCCCAAGTGGGGTATGTGGGCCCAACCACACCCCATCAAAATGAGTTAATTTCTCAAGAACCAAAAGAAATTTAGGATTTAATGACCTCACTTGGAAGGTGACCCCATGGCTTGGGCTGTGAGAGGAAGGATTTTAGCAAGGCTCCCAGGCMGTTCCACTTGACTGCCCAGGCTATCCTCAATCAATCTGCTATGCTGGTTTGGGGGCCAATGCTCTCAACATTCAAGGAGCTGGTGCATGTACACCACCACCTTCAGCCAGGAGTGATGGGAGCCTGAATAGCACCCAGCCAATGTAGGCCCAAATGTCTTTCGCTCTGGACCAAAGCCTCAGTGTCAAGGCCCACCACTTCCCCAACCCCGTGAGACACAAGCACTACACCTGCAAAAGAGGCGGTTCCATTGACTCCTGTGTCTAGCTGGGAGGAATTTGATTGGCTACAGAAGATAGGCCAGTCAGCCAAAGTCAGCAGAATTCTGGAACAGGGGTCAAGTAACAAATATAACAGATAGCCTTTCCTCACATACATGTGGCTTGGCTGAGGTCACGTAAGCACCACTGTATACCCCTCCATGCCCTCCTTTCCTGTTCTGTAGTCCCTCCTGCCTTCCTGGGGTCAGAGTGGGCCCGACTGCTGGCCCATCACCACCAACCACCACAGGACAGGAAGGCTGCCTCGCCCCCCCCCTCCCCACATACACCTAGCTGCAAAGGGCCAATGGGTCTCTAAGGGTCCCTCTGAGGGTCCCAGGTTATGTGTCTGCAACACCTCACGTCTCTTTGGTTTCAAAAGCTTCAAGGAGGTGATTAACATCCCAATGGGATCTTTTTGGTGAGGGCTGGAGAGCCCAGTAGCATTCCCAGTGGTTTCCTTTCATTTCCTTCCAGAACTACTGCAGAATGTTGCTTCTGCTGACTAAAGTGACGATGGCCTGCGGTTGCCTAAATGACCAGTGGTTGGGGCCCAGAGATGCTTGTAAATTTGCTTTGATGAAACATGAGGATCTGGGGGATTGTGTGGACTTGTTTCTGGAGTCCACCCACAGGAAACAGTATGCGTTTCTGAAGGATTTACACACACACTAACAGGCACACACAGACTTTGGAAAGTGAAAATATTTTCTCTCCCCATGCGGTTTGCACATAGTAATTTCCAGCAAGCCTGGGAGGGAAATGAGCAATACGAACTCAGAGCTAGGGTCATGAGCCTGCCTGCTCCAGTGTATGGGGAAGAGTCTGGAAGATGTGGTAGTTGTTCTGAAAGCAGGCGAAGAGAAATAAGTCTCTAAGTCAACATTCAGAAATAGGGGCTTTGGCTGTGGAAGAAGTTGCTGYAATTTCTTTCTGTACTGTCTGCCTACTACCTGGACACAGAGCAGGACACCCCCAGAGCCAGGACCTGCTGGGTCCTTTCCTCTCTGGATTTCTCTCCCTAACCTCACCCACAGTGGCAGAGCTTAGCATCCGGAGAGGCTAAACTCTGAAAGAGCAGGCTGCGCTGGCTTTCGAAGCATTCCCTAGGGCGGGCCTCTATTCTCACTATCATCTTTGCTTCCTGCCCCTGTTCTGGACTCAAATTTATAATGAAGTACGATGAAATGAAATGCATGCACCAATGAGCRAGAGCACAGGACCCCAACTGGGTCAGAGTCCAGCCACCTGCTCCGCTTGGTCAACTGTCCAGTTGCCTGGCTCCCTGTGACAGGACAGCCTGGCTGCTCAGATATCCTGCCAGAGTTGGCCCAGCTAGCCCCAAGCGAGGAGCCAGACTCCCTGAGTCTCAGTGGCATGGAAATGTGCATAATAGGCAGAGGCACAGGGAGGAGGACAGATCTGGAGGGACCAGGCTAGAAAGGGTGGGGGGAGACAGATATACAGATGGGCAGTGACTCCCAAGATGCAAGCTTGCAAAATCAGCCTTGCTGGGCCAGGCACGGGGAGGGTAATGAATATTCAAGTCAATGTTCAGAAATTCATATAAATCATTGTGATTTCCCCCCCTATGCATCTAATAACCTGCATCTGATTAGAACATCCCTAGAGTCAGGGGCTGATCCTTTTCTCTCTTAATCTCTCCCCCCACCCCCACAAATACCCTTCCTCTCAGAGCTTAGCATACAGGCTGATTTGAAAACTATACACAACCCAAGAGTCCGCAAGGCCACCAGGCTCCCAGCCACCCCTCCAGCAGACAGACTTCTGAACCCCAGCCCTTTCCCCGAGCCACCCGTCACCCTGTTCATTTGACATAACAAAGATTCTTCTCCATGCACAGCAGAAGCCTCTACAGAGCAAGAGCTTCCTCCCCTCCCCTAGCAGGACAAAAAGTCACCTATTTTTAGGTAAGACAAAATTGGGACAAAAATGAAATCAAAACAAAGCCTTAAACAAGTTGTGTCAYGCACTGGAATTTTTCTTGACAGATGATGGTGGCAAGACAGTAAACATACACGCTGATCCCTGCTTGGGTTCCTGGAGAKATTTTTGGATCAAGTCCCTGTGACAGCCCTGTTCCCTAATCCCCCATGGAGGAAGCAGCCCCTGAACACCTGGGGCAGGCGGCCTGACTCCCAGCAGCCCCCAGACCAGCACACCACAGTTTGCATATACACTAAGCCCTTTTGTTTAGGACTTAGCAGGGGGGACCACGCAGTCCCTGTCTTCATTATACAGTCCTTTGTTTCCTTGGATCTCCCGATCAGCCCCAGGGGCCCAGAATCAGTTTACTTCTGGCTGTGCATGCACACCTGGTTCCTCTGGCTTCCTGGGGAACTTACACAYGCCATGCAAGGTGGGGAATCAGGCAGAGATGAGTCTTCTTTCCAGGGAGAAAAGGCAAGCTGGAAGCAGAGGATGAGGATGGAATGCCTCATGCTTGCAGGGGACGGCCAGGCCAGCTCCCCGCTCACCTGTACTGGTCATAAAGGTGATGACGGTACTGCTGATGCCCTCGTTGTCCCGGGAATAAACCCTCAATGTGTACGTCATCCCAGGATAGAGGTCTGTCAGCTGTATAGGCTGGGCCTGGGCCTTAACAGGGACAGTTTTTTTCGTATGGTTGCCTGGGGAACAGAAATCTTGGTCAGCCTGAAGCCAGGCACGGGGAGCTGGAGAGACAGTGCTTAGTTTCCTGGTCACCTGTCAAAGGTAGAAAAGGGCGAGGGGACCGCGGGTCCAGTCCACTGTACAGACCAGGAGAGAACCAGACAGCTAGCTCCCCAGTGCTTGTCCATGCAATGCTAGCGCTCTCTCTCTTCCATGATGCCCCTTCCACAAAGGACACTGTTTCCTCTTATAGTTCTCCTTCCTCACCACAGTCTTAGCGCTAAACATATCAGAACCTGCTTAAATCTTCAGCATGTTGGTGGACACTCCACTGCCCTGGAAGTGATTTACTTCCCAAGTGGGATCTTTCTGGTGAGGGCCAGAGAGCCAGTCAGCATCCCTCATGGTTACTGGAGATGGGACAGGAAGAGTCCTTGACTCTCCTTGGCTCTCACTCCTGGCTTCACCTCTCGTGTCTCAGCAAGTGGCAAAATCACACACCAGGTAAAGCACCTGTGTCTGCGCTGCAAGGCAAATGGTGTTGGGGTGTGTGTGTGTGGGGGGGGGGGGCGCACGGGCCAAGCTGAAAAATTATATGGACCAAACAAGAGGATTCCAGATACTGTGGACACAACGTCTCCTCCAGATACAGAGAGTGAAGAGTTGGCTTGGCATTCCCAAGAGAGCTTTGGGTGGGCCATCCCAGGTGGGTTTTAAGGCTGGTGTGTGGCTTAGCTGCTTAGCGCACATGCTTGAGAAGCCAAGGTGTAGGGTTTGACCCCACRGGACCAGGGGCCTCCACTCAGAGAGGCTGGATGTCCTGACCGTGTTCTGTAGTCTAACCAATCTGTTCCTTGGTCCTAAGATCTAGGAAGAAGAGCAAACAGCTTGTCACCAGCTCTCTGAGACACAGGGCTCTGGCTCCTGTCTCGGACTGTGGCCCTCTGACATTCTGCTGTGAACAAAACACAGCTGGAGCCCAAGTCTGTGAACTGGCCTGGTCTATCTGGTGAAGCCATCAGGATACACATTAGGACATCAACACAGAGGTGAGCTTTGGCTTATTTTGGGGTGACTGAGAACCCTCATTCTGGGCAGGAAATGGATGGAGGGCTCGGCTGCCCGGGTCTTCCATAGTACTTGCAACTGGAGGCCTTCACTAATGGCTTTGGAAGCCCCTACCTTCTCTTTCAGTCCGCTCCTCCCACCTCTCTGCCGCCTGAGAGCATATCGATTTCATTAAGCTATAATTAAGCCAGGCTAAAAGGCCTCTCTGAGCCTGGGGGACTTCACAGGATCTCTTTAATGGCATCTACCACTAAGAGCCACTGCCGCYGCCACCACCTCCCCACACATCAATGCTTACTGTCGATGTACTCAACCACAAAGTCAGTTCCGGGCCCAAAATTGTGCTTCCAGGTGATGTTGGCCCATTTACTGTTGGGGAGCACCGTGACGTTCCATATGGACTGCTCATCGGGGGCTGGTGGGCAGGTTAGAAGAGGCGTTAGTGATGAGGAGGCTGGCAGCGCGGGAGACACCGAGACACACATGCACACCAGCATGTACACGCGCACACACGCACACACACAGCTGGAAAAGGAAAGAGTCAAACATGGCTGTGCACAGGGCCCAAAGGAGCTCCAAGCTGCAGCCTTGGTGGCCAGGCCCGAGGCAGCCATCCGGGAACGAGCGGGAGCAGTGAGGAGGACCTGAATGGGAAGGAGAGCTGTCTATGTGTCCACACCGGCGGGGTTGGGCATGAAGAGTGGGTTTTGATCCACACTGTTGGAGACTGTAACCTGGGCTTATTTCCTTTTTACATTCCTTGTCATGGATTTGAGCAGTGCCAGGAAAGAGGCCAGGAATGAGGTCTCTGGTCAGGATGCCAAAAGAGTGGGAGACGTGCTGGTTTTTTTCTTTCAACCATGGAAGCTCTACAGGAAGGTGAGGGTTGTCTTCAAAAGTCCAGCAAGAAAGGATGGGGGTGCAGCTCCTTGGTAGAGCACTAACCTAGTGTGTGGGTTTGAGTTCTCCCTGGGTTCAATCCCTAGCATTTACTGCCCCCCAAATCAAGAAAGAGTCTCAATGAAATGTGTAGGAAGGACGAGATCAAATATGGGAAAACCCTACTGGGCTTCTAAACTGGAGTAGGACAAGGATCATCCAGATAAGAGACCTGGAGTTGTTCTTGGTCAGTGAGACCCTGGATGCCACACACAACCACCCCCGATTGCCTATGGTGACTGGGGGCTTAGAACCTTGGGTCCCAAGCAGAGACAGTATGAATCCTTCTTCTCTCTGTCAGGGACTAGATGGGACCAAGACATGACACCCAACCCTCCAACCCTCGGTGATCCAGACACTAGAAGAACACCATTCGGTTGGCTTCTCAGCCCCACAGTCTTTGAGGCTTGATCTCTCTGAAACACAGAGGACATTAATTATCTAGCTCCTATGAGCTGGGAGCTACTTTATCAAAGCCGTGGCGCTGTCTGAAACCATAGTCTATGAACAGAAGAATGGCACTAATCTTCAAATGCAATCACTTTTCAAGAGTCCCAGCAGTCTGATTACCCCATTTTCCAGCAAAGATTTAATAGTGGAGGACTAGCATGAAGCCTTGTATTTCAAAGACTTTACAAGGGTGGCTTCTGTATATTTTATTAGCATGCAAGGGGGCACTGTCACCAACTCACTTGTCAAAAATAAATGAATAGAGTACATCAGGGATGCATTTATTCATTATCTATTTGACATGTGACTGAGTCTGCAGGGCTGGAGAAGTGATAAAAGACTTCCTGGTTTTTTTCACTTCAAAGAAGTCTCTTTTCTACTACAACCCTGTCAGGTGGCGGCTTGCCCCAGGTGAACACGAGGCATGTTAGGTGAAGACCAAAAAAGAGGTGTCACGAAGACACCTGAGGGTACTCTCCATAGGGAGGGCAGAGGTAGGCTTCRCCACTTGTCTGCCAGATATTTCAATTGTACTGGCTGCTTTAAGCCCCCTCAAATCCCAGCTCTTTGGAATTTGATGGTTCTTGCTAGTGGGAATGAATTCATGATGAGCCATGTTTTAAGGAACTGAGTTTTTTCCTTCTTARCTTGGGACCCTGTAAAATAGATAGAATATTTGTGTTTGGTCCCAATATAACATTGACCTAAATCTGACTATTTTCCAGGGTACAAAGATGGGGGCGGGGGCGGGTTTTAGGAAAGATCCCGCAGTGGGAAACAAAATGATTCGGAGATGGGAATGGAAGTAAGGCATTGCACACAGAGAGGTCAAGATGCTGACCACTAAAGAACTGGAAAGTTCAAAGAGAAGGACCAAGAAAGCAAGCCCTCAATAACCAAAACCCAGAGACCAGTGAAACGCCACGTCACATACAACCTCAAGAATGGGATCCTAATTGAATAAATTACACTCCATGTATGCATAATATGTCAAAATACACTCTACTGACATATCTATCTAAAACAACAAACTAGGAGGAAAAAGGGCAAGAGAGGAGACACCCACATCCTTCCTCTGACTCCTGGCCTGAGTTAGGGAGTGTCCCTGAAATCTAAAAGAGACATGTTAAGAACAAATATAAAGGCCTCTTTCACTCTGAAAAAAGAAAACTTAGTGAGAAATTTTGTTCAAGGATGTAAGATTAGATAAAGATGAGAACTGATTTTAAACATCCCGAGTGGCAGAGCCGTTCTGCCACATCAAGGGAAGTGGGGATGCTTGARGAGTGTCCCTGAGCTCGAGATAAGATCAGCACCATGGCCATGCCCTCTGCAGCATCTCAGACCATGGTTAAAAACTTGGGTGTGAGTCGTGGGGCCAGGTCTGGGAGGCAGGCCTATCTTCCCAGAAGGCAAGTAACTGCCCAGGAGCAAGATTCACTGTTCCCCGGCTTCTTGGCACACCTCTTCTGTGAGTTCAAAGCACTCAATGACAAAGATGCTTCAATGTGGCACCAGAGAACAATCACTAAGTTGCTGACCACAACCTCTAATAGCCTAGCAAGTTTCTCCTCAGGCAACTTTCTCCTCAAGTGAGTACTGCTTAAATGCTAGATATTGCGTGGATTGAGCGAATTGGTGGTTTCAAGATCACCTGTCTCTCCTCACTGCTCATTAACACCATGCAATTGAACTGAAAYAAATACACGCACATCAAGCCTCCATGCCCTTTCAGGGGGCTGAGAGAAGAGGGTCAGTTGGGAGGCAGTGAAGCCTCAGGGTGGAGGATGTGCTAGCCTGGGACTGCTGGAGGAGAGTTCTGGGGGCGTCTGGCCAGCCTTATCAACTGCCTTGTGCTGATTTGATAGCTGGCCTGTGGGCTCAGGAGCCTAGAGACCCTCCCCTGGGTTCTAAGGAAAGACTGATGCTCAAGTTCAGAAGCCCTGCTAYATCCCCTAGGGTCGCCTAGGCTGGAGAGCAGGGCCTCCTGGCTAGCGGAGGGATGCAGAGTTGCACGTTCTCCTGGCTCCACCATCCAGCCCTGGGATCCATCCTGACCAGGGACCCCCAGAATGGCTGCAGTTTCCCTTCGAGGCATGCATCTGGGGGTGTAGGAGACATGGACGGGAAGAGACATGGAGCCCACTTTGGGCATTATGGGACAACCTGGCAATACCATTTCCTGGAAGCTCTGACTTTWAAAAATAAATGTCTCTAAGAGTTCCTTGGGGAAAGAGAGGCTAGGAGGAAAGTGGGATTCTAGGAACGGAGCTGCCTGGCGTGACCAGTCACTTTCTGCTCCGTGGCCTCAATTCTGCAAAGCTGGGCACAGATATGGCGGRAGCCAGAAGCTCTCAGGGCAGGGTGTTAAGTTCCCTCTGGAGAGCTCGAAGTGGGGTCCTGAATAAGGAGCTGTGGCCTCTGTTGTGCATGGAGCTGAGGCAGAATGAGGAGTGCCCCACGGGTGCAGGACCACCCAAGCAGGGGCAGTATGTGTGTGGGGGCTCTGGGCCCCTAGGCTACAGGCAGACCCTGCCCCAGACCCCACCTTCCAGCTGGAGGAGGCTACGATTGGTCTCTTAAGACAACTAGGGAGGTGGGCCCCGAGGGGACGAGGCAGGCGCAGGGGCAGTGCGCAGCAGTACCGGATTCCTGTATCTTAGTCCCGGTGGTGGTGGTGGTGGTGGTGGTGGTGGTGGTGGTGGGAGGACTCTCCGTGGTGGTGGCGGCAGTGGTTGTAGTAGTTGTGGTGACGGTGGTGGTGGTGGCGATGGTGGTGGGCGCCACAGTTGGGATGATGGGGACTGTTGTGGCTTCGGTGGCGGCGGCAAGGGCAGTAGCATCAGTACTGCTCACAGCGCCTGTGGCGCCCTCGGTAGTTGGGGGCAACGTGGGAGGAGCTGAGAGGGAAATGCAGAACAGCCGAGTCCGGTTGGTTTGGCTGCGCCCCCTGCACGCACGGCCCCCCGCGTGCACGTGAGGCAGGGCGCCAGGGGAGGGGCTTAGAGATCGAAGCCTCCCCAAGCGAAACGAGCAGCCCCGCAGCCCCGACGGGTTGGCCAGCGGAAACACAACCATGGAMAAGGAAGAGAATGAAGCCTGGGTGCGTTTCATTTTCTTCTCATGGTCTGTGTGGTCGAAGCACCCAGCATGCACCCAGTCGAGACCCGGGGGTAGCACAGAGTCCCAGGCCAAACGCCATCCAGACACACGACCAAGCAGCACCAGTTGGGTCCAGCCCTGTAGCCCCAGTCTCCTCTGAGGTGTGCAGGCGGCTGGGCCCTGTCCTGCAGGGGCACAGGGCAGCCTGCCATTTCCCAGCCCTTTACTCCCAAATCACCCTTTGTCACGCCTGCTTTAGTGCAAACAGCCACCCAGAGCCAACGGGACAGAGAACAGTCCCCACTCTGCGAAGGAACCTTGCAAGCTCCATCTGCAGCTCCCTGAGCCTGCCCCTGCTCTCAGCCACCAGGCTTAGCTCTTCCTGTTGTCCTTGGCCTGTCCTCCCTCTCCCCCTCTCCCTCCTCTGCCTAATGATGACCCTTCCCCCTATGACCCCAATTACTCTGACTTCAGCTAACTGCTTTTCTTTCTAGGAAATCTGGGGTACAGGTACCCCAAGTCTCTCCTGTTCATGTCAGAACCTGGGAAAAGGGCACTGGTGGGATCTGTCCTGGGCAGCACCACCTTCCCAGCCTGCAGGAGACACAAATCCCAGCCRTCAGGGGGTGTCCTTTCTTTCTAAGTCTTCCTCTGGGGCACAAGGTGGGGGCACAGGATGGTTCAACCTGGGCTCACTTTCTAGTACCCCCAGATCCCATCCAAAGCAATCCTTGGCTATCAGTCAGTGCTGGGGGCCTACATCTATACATTATATACATGTGACTACTTCTTCAAGGATCAAACTTCCTTCTCTAGAAGGCCCATGGAAGCTAACAAAGGGTTACCCTATCCTTACTCTCCAGTTTCAATATTTCAATATTCAAAAACTGAGAGTGTAAGAAGAATGATGGGGGCAAATCCAAGACACAGATCTACTTATCTGCCTTACACTCCATCTCCTGTGATCTGACCATGGCCCATTTAATAGTGTCGATGTTAATGGGGCAGCAGATAGAGAACTTAGGCATAAACAGGTAACTCTCTCAAGGAGTAGTGACTTCCCTCCCTCCCTTGTATCTCTAGAAGTTCAGGAAAATAATAACCCCGGTCTCTCCCACCCCCACAGAAGAGGGCTAGGGTGGGGAAAGCCAGAGCAAGAATTGCCGGAGGGCTTTTCTGTGCCGAGAATCAAGTGACCCTAAACTCTTCAACCAGGGCCTGACCAACAAAAGCCCTTTCATTCCCTTGGGTATTCAGTATTACAAGTTCTCAGCAGAGAGTGGGGGAATGCTCCTGGGGTCCCACTGCTTTCCTGTTCTAAGATCAGAGGTGTCACAGGCGCTGAGGGTACTGACCACAGGAATCACACTGGGGAGCGGACTATGCCCCTGCATTCCAGGGATTCCTGGGCAGGTTCAAAGCCAACAACACTATGGTCCCCAAGTCCAGTCAACTCAGGAACGCATGGGAGGAGGGACATGGGGACACACACCCACACCCACACCCAAACACACACCCACACCCAAACACACACCCACACACAAACACACACACACACACACACAAGCCAGAGGGACCCACGAGGCTGACCCTCTTAGGGTTGCTACCTTTTAACTTGAATGACCCCACGCTGGGTAGTTCAGGGACAGGTGCAGTGATTGTACATTCCCAGGCCCTCGAAACTAAGTTCAACCTCCCCCAAAGCCACACACACACACACACACACACACACACACACACACACACGGTCCTTGGCTCTTGTACAGAGACATCCACGTTCACACCCCCACAGCTCCCACAGGGCATTCTAACCAGAGCCCTGGGGACAGAGATGCTGAGAGAGACCAGAGAATGTTCCTCACTTGGCACCGCTGGCCAGAGACAAAGGTAGGTCATGATTCTGGGGAAGCTTCCACACCATCTGTGTCCACCCTCTAATGTCCACTTCTGCCATCACTTTCTCTCTGCTGATGCCCACCTAGCTGCTTTCCCAGGGTGTTCGTGAGGGAATACACAGGGAGAGGGGATGGCAGCCACTGCCCAGGCAGCCTCCCTGGATGCCTGCTCTCTGTTACTGTGAGGACACACCCTCAGTGGGCTGAGGTCAYAGCTGGCGATCAAAGTGACCTCTGATCCATCCATTCCTCTGTCTACTGTCCCCAGACTGGACAGGGCCACTGGGGACAGGGAGAGCAGAGGCAAGAAGGAAAGGCYGAGGGAGGCAGAGCAGAGTTGGGAGCACGGGCTGTCTGAGGGCTGGGACAGGTGGGCAAGAAGAGACACGTTTCCTATGGGGAAAAACGTCCACTGCTCAGGTCAAAGGGAATTCAGTCCACTTCAACCACTGGGAGGAGCTAGGGGAGAGGATGGAAGGGCAATGATGCCCCGAAGTGGGGCTGGCTTATAAAACGAGTGACCAAGTGCCAGGCAGGCACATCCCTGGTTTGGATGCCATTTTTTAGCCACAAGAGAAACTGTGGGTTTGGAAATCATCCTGACCAGTGCTCAGTGGAGACCACCTGGACTGGCAAACAAGAAGAGGGAATAGAGACCCTCCATTACCTAAGGGCACCCTAGGGCAATCTGGAGCTTACACACAGGTCCCCTACCAGAACCAAGGCAGTGTCAACCCCAAGGGTGGCCTCTGGTATACTGGAAGACACTCCAGCTATGACTCACGGTTTTCTACCAGGTTTGGGGAGCAATGTGTAGGAGATGGAGAAAATTGAGAAGAAATGCCATGTCTCATTCATTTTCTGTGCCCACACTTGCCATGGAGCTGAGCACCCATTAGGAGCCCACCCAACATTTGCAGATCTGAGCAAGAGTCAAAGACAAGGACAGCAGTTTCCAGACATTCCAAGGTGGATGTTCAGTCCAAAAACGTCCACATGGTGTGCAAACTACCCTGGCCAAATCACAGACTGTCAGACAGATGGGCAGAAATCCTAACAGACTGAAGATACAGGTGGATGAGAGGGATTATCGTCACTGGGCGAGATAGGAACAGATCAGTTTTGGGGAAGAGCGCCCAGGTTTGGAGAGGATGAGAGACAAGAGGGTGGTGCGCCGGACGCCGGGCCCACATAAAAATTTAGAACCTGAGCTCTATTGCTTGGCACCTACTGATGGTGCAGAAGGAAGCTGAGAACATTTGATATCAGCATATCGCATTTGCAACCAAGTGCAATCTGCCTCCACCACCACTTCATGTGGAAACCGGAGCCTAGGAAACACACTTGATTGACGGACAGAGACCCTGAGCTCATTCTGCATAATGCATGCATTTGGGTCTTTTCTAAACAGAAGTAAGAAGTTGGAGTGTTGGGAAGGACACCTCTCCRCCCCTTCACAATTGCCACTCACAAGAGGGCAGGCTGGACTAGCACAGATGTCCACTGACCAGGGCAGACTCCCTGCTGCCGGACCCACCTGCCTTGGGTCCTGGTGCCAGAACTGGGGAGGTGGATGGGGAGCGGCTTGACCAATGATCTTCGAGCTGACTTGCCCGGCTCTCCCTGCTGCCCTGAGCACCTGCTATCATAGTCACAAAAGAAACTCACATATGGACTTGAATCTGAAAGTCAGGGGAACCCCTAGCGTGGCCAGGATGGCTCTGTCACGCCCTGGAAACCTCTGTTCTGCATGCTAGCAGAGGTGTTCAGACCTGGTGGGAAGGCACTGGGCCCCAGCTGGCCCAGGTTACTGGGGACAGGGTGGTGGAGAGGACTCAGGGAGGGGAGGGATGATGGATGGCTGGTCCCCACCTACAGATCTGGCTGGCAAAACACATAAACTGAAGGAAGCGGGATATGCAACAGAAATAGAACCAACCTAGAAAGGGGGTGGGGGAATAAGTGAACCAAAGTGGGAAGGAAATCAAATCAGGAAAGGTGACATTCTCTTTATAAGCCAAGCCTCAGATTCCTTGCCTGAGTCTCTGTTCTCCCCAGCTGCCTGGAGCTCCACCTGATACAAATCAGGCTCAGAGCAGGGCCAGGAAAGAAACCCTGGTGTCCCCTACCTAGTTCCTCCAATTTGGGGACAGGCCTCCTATAGTGAAGAGCCCTGTGATGGTCCTMAAACCCATGACATGAGGACCCAAGGAGGAGCTTGGTTAGCAGGTCAGCTCCTGGCTTCTGCTGTAGTCTTACCTCCCAGACCCCGAGAGTGGAGGCTGTTCTTGCTGCTCAAGACTTTGAGAAGGTTGTTGTTTGAGGGGTGATCAGCCCATGGTGCCCAGTATATTCCAGGTCCTGGAGCACTGGGCCCTATCCAAGGACACRCTCGCTTTTTCTCACTGACCAGAACCCGCGGTAGCTGTCAGAACTGGTGCTGGGCCCCCCATGCAGCATGCAAGACGGGCATGCACAGCGTGCTCACCCTTTCAGGGAATGGTGGGTGACCTGAGCAGGAGCCAGGAGCCAGCTGCCCCCGATCCTGCTGCCTTCTAGGGCCATCTCTGTGCTCTCAGATGCCAAGCCCAGGTAAGGGCTCAGGGGGTTCATGGGAGATAATCACTCAGCTTCAGAGAACAGTGCAGCTCAGAGGGCAGGCTGGGAGCCTGCGTGGGCCCTGCCTTCCCAGGAGGGGACAAACAGGAAGCAAAGGGGAAACATGGAGCTCTCCCCTGGCCTATGCTCCTTCAAGTCTGGCTTCCCCACYCCTGAAAGGGTGAGTCTGCAGCATGCTTTCAGCCTCTCCCTCCTGCTCTGCCCTGGCTGGGCTAGGCTCTGCCTGCACTGCCCCATGCCATGCCCGTTACCTCGGCTGCTGGTACGGTACCTGCAGTTGGAGTAGCTTCAGACACAGCACCCAAGATGGCCAGAGAGAGGGAGAGAGGATGAGAGAGGGAAGAGAAAACAGAGTACAGGTGAAACCACAGGCCAAGCAAGCAGAGAAGTCCGGTTCATACCTGACCCAGAAGGTGTGGCCAGGCAGTAGCTGCTGCCCAGAGGATGCCAACTGGCATGTGGGGGTCATGGTCAACCCCGTTAGAGTCAGGCATGTTCCTACCTTCCCACTTTGGTCTTGGAGACATTTCTAATACATTCTGTTTCTACCCCCTGTTCTATGAGTAGTCATCTAAGAGGTGGCAATAGGGACAGTCCATTCAGAATACTATGTCCCCAGCTTTTTCTCTAAGGATATGTCCTGCCCTTCCTGGGACACTAGGATGCCAAGAATCGAGGGCATAAGGTATAGGTGGTGCAGCAGGCACCAACCCCAGTCAAAAGGATGGTTTCTATATCATCTCAGGAAGATGCTGCATAGTTTCAGGGTCGACAGGAGTTGGGGAGCATATTTGGTTGACCACTCCCATCTCTCCATTTCAATCTTGCAAAGCACAGGGAGTCATGGACCCCCTGTCCTGGAATTCTGCTGCCGTAATTCTTTCCCAACAGTTGTATTTTAAGAAATCCGAAACCCAAGCATGGACTGAGAGTCCTAAAACAAATCCCTGAATTTTCTGCAAATCTCCCAAGTTGAGAAGAAAGTCTCTCTTTGTTCTCTTGTCCCCTGGGGTTGCAGAACTTTCCCTGGAGCTGGACAATGGGGCTTTGTTTGCTGCCCTATGTAGAGATGGGAGTGTGGGTTGGGGAGTGGCTCTCCCCAGTATAGCTCCAATACAGCTCCAAATGCAACTGTGGAGAAAGTGCATTATGGTCTGGCCTTTGGTAATRGGCTACAACAGTTACTTACCTTAAAATCCCCAGCCTAGAAAACGCCCTGAGTCTGGGCTTAGAAAAGTACCTGGGGATGGGTTATTATTATGTGACTCACTCCTGATGTAAAGACCAGAGAGACTGCAGATTTTCCTCTGGCGCCTGCCTAGTCCCTCTCCCCGGCTCAGCACAGGCCTGCTGGCCAGTGAGGGACAAGGGGCTGTTGATGCAGCTACCCAGGAAGCCTGGGTGGGGTAGCAGACACAGCAGGGCCTGGCAGCCCCAGCAGGAAGTATGATGTTGTCCTGGGGTAGGGGAGGGGAGGGGCTCAGCAGACCCTGTTTAGGCCAGGGTCAGGCCGGGACCCAGCCTTCTGGGGACAACACTAGACATGACAGTATGTCGGCCTCAGAGTGCCTACTCACATCACCTCTTCTTTGGAGTCACTCCTTGCAGAAGGACTCTCTCCTTTGCTTGCGCTCCTTTTGTTTAGATACACAATCAGATATTATCGTGGATGCCTCTAGATGGTATGGATTTCAAGTTACCTTTGTGCCTCTTGTGCAGTCTGGCATGGCACATTATGGGTGTTCAAGTAATTATGGTTGCATAGACAATTGTACCTCTGGAGAGGTCCCTTTTCATAGGGGCCTGCCAACACCCAGGCTTTGTGGGGTCTGGCATCCCTGGGCGGTTCCCACTCTGGCCAGTACTGTGTGGGTGAGCCTGGAGCTCCCYCTAGTGGAGTCTTGAGGCAGGTACAACTTGGGTAGGGATGCTTTGCACCAGGACGCAGGAGCTGAGCTCATTTGTTCTTTGTGAAGCGGGTGTGGGACAGGGTGCTTCCCATCTCTCCCTCCTCTCTGCAGTCAGACAACTTATCTCAGCTGCAGCTCTGCACAGGACTGGGCAACTGGCTTCAGTCTTGGTGYTTTCCCCTGCCTCTTTGGCCCCACTGGTCCTTGGAAAGGAAGGCCTGTCCCACAGTTTTCCTGGGGCACCCTCCATAATAGTCCTTCCTCTCCAAATAATAGGTAATCAGTTTCACTATTCTTTGGAGTTCATTAGCATATTTATTTCCAACAGGCTTCCCCTCCTCTCCTCCTCTCCACTTATATTCTCTTCCTTATTCCTCTACAAGGAGGAAAGATGGTGGATGTTAAACAGCTGAGCAAGTCAAGGCCAAGTGGGGCCCAGATTTGACCGCAAGTCTAAGGAGATCAGTTTTCCAGATACAGCGCCAGGCCTCTCTGTCAACATGTAGGACAGGTTGTCTCCTACTGGGGGTTTGGGGACTTGTGGTCTTGCTTCCTCTTGGTCTCAGTTTGTTTTTCTAGGCATTTGAGTTAGCTGGGGTCTTTCACCCCAAGGACCACCACCACAGACCTACCTTCATTCGGGGGCGCTGGAGACTCCTCTGTGACTGCTTCCCCGGAGCCCACCTGCGTCCTGGCGCTGAGGGTAAAGCGGTAGCGTGACACAGGGTCTGCTCTCTGCATGGAGAACTTGGTCTGATTGGGAGAGAAGTTTTCCACCATCTGCTTTCCTACTTTAGTTCCATTAACTGAGGAGAAAGAGGTAGCGGAATAGAAGATGAGCAATGCTTACCGTGATGGTTTATGTAATCTGCACCTGTAAGAACCCAGTCTTAATTTTCTGGAAAGGGAACTGGCGGCCCCTGCCTGGTAACCTTCAAAGTGTGGTTTGGAGGCAGAGAGGTAGGTAGGTAGAACTCCCYCCCAGCTCCTAGACTACACCCCAGTGCTGCTTCACCCACCCTACTGTCCCTAGCTCACTGCGAAGGCATGTGGCTGATTCTGGAAGATTCAGTTTATAATTCCCAAGAGACATAAACCTCTTGAGTGCCTTGCTTCTGTTTAAACAGAGCTGGGGCCAATTCACAGGRCTTCTGACTGTTCCCGCCTCCTTTATGAAAAGCAGGTTCAATATGCCACAAGGATGAAGGGTCAGGTCCAGAGATGGATACAGAAAGCACCCAAGAGCACAGCTGGCTGTTGCAATTGTTAACAACACAACACCCAGCCCTTTGTGTCTTCCCAGGGAGAAACAGCATCGAATCCAGTAGAAGACTGCATGATTTTCAAGTGCAATGACATTGCCATCCCTGCCTGGTGACGCCGCCGAGCTCTTGAGGTGAGGTCTTCCTGACCAGGTCCTGATTTAATTTACTCCAGTCACTTGGCTGCTTATATATGGCCACCTTATCTTAAATGACACCTTCTTATCATGTCTCCAGGGGGTCTGTGGACTCCAGTGCACACACTGTCTGCCCCACTGCACGGCAGCTTATTGGGTAAGGAACTCTCTCTCCTAGACCTGTAGGTGTTGGGGACAAGATCCTAAGGGCTGGGGTTGTCTCCCTCATTAGATGAGTTCCCTTCACCTCACCTGTCGGGTAAGAAGTTCCCTGCAGCAGATCTGTGCATGGAGAGCAGGGACTGGGTCTCACCTGCCTCCTGTAATCCCTTCCAGAACTTTCTCCTTGGCCCCTCCATCCTCCCCAAAGGCCCCTGTACTCAGCCGTCCTATCTCAATTCCTTAGGAAAAGTAGTAAGAATGGATTCTGACTCCCAGATTATCACAGAGAAAGAGAGGGGCAGGACATACAGGCCACGTATTTGAGGGTGTATCCAATCAGGATCCCATTGGGGTGTTCCGGATGATCCCACTCCAGGTTGATTGTCTCCAGGTTGGGCTGCCGGACTCGGAAACGCCTGGGGGCACTGGGTACTTGGGGAAGGAGGAGGGAGCAGGGGAGATAAGGGGAGGGGGAGGGAGGATGAGGAAGATAAAAAAAAACAAAGCACAAGTATGAAAGCCTTGACCTTGGGCAGCCAGGGTGCTGGAAGGAACCCTAGGGGCCAGAGCCCACTGCCCCATCCAGGAAATTRTTTCGCCCAAGGGTGAGGACAAGTGTGCTAGACTCTGCTGTTGAAATGGGGAGCAATGAGTCTGGATTTCAGCACACATTAGGCTCCAGTCCCGCAAAGATACCAAACCAGGCAGAGCCATTCCCAGGCAGGGAGCCTACTGCAGCTGATCTGTAGGAAGGGTGCAGTTCCTGGTCCTCAGTACCCGGTCCAGGTTTCTGACCCAGGAAGGCTGGGTTCATGGGTGAAGAGAAAGAAACCCAGGATGCAGCACCTGGGAAGGGCGGGAGTGACGGGCCAAGGTGGATGATGAAACCAAACCAAGACAGCGGGAAAGACAGGAATAAAGAAAATGAGAGGGAAGAACAAAGAAGAGAAAGGAGGAACAGAAGAAGAAAAATGGGGAATAAGAAGAAGGCAAAGCAAATGCACAGTGGAAGGAGGCCTGGTAGGCATGGAGAGATGAGCCAGCGCGTCCCAGGCTGTCTGCAACCCGGGACTGGATCCAGAYGCAGGCTACAGGAGGGAGGGGCTGCCCCCGGGGCCTCCACACTTAGGCGGGCTCTCAGTGACTGTGAGCGTCTTGGGTGCTGGAGAGCAAGTGGTCCAGGTGGCCAGGATGCTCATGCTCCTTCTGCCTGGGCAGGTGTTGGGAAAGCCCAGGCCTCGCAGTGCCCTTGGGTCCATCTGCAGAGTCCATCTGCAGTCACTTCAGTTGACCACTCCGGGCTTCTCTTGAGACACACCCTCTCGTCAAGGTAGGCCACCTCCATGATGTGGGAGTGGCAGAGCTGCTCGGCCAGCAGGCCATCAGCTCCTTGAGGCCACGCAGGTCACTTTGTGCTGTCCTGGGTGGAGCCATGTGGAGCTGCTCTGGGTCCTCTGGGGTGTGCGGACCTCGTTCTGCCCACCCCGAAGAGTGGCAGGGCAGACCTACCTCCTTCCGGGGTAGTAAACTCCTTGGTTTCGCTGCGGGGCCCGTCGCCTCTCCCATTGACCACAACCATCTCCAGCTTGTAGTTACTGTAGGGGAAGAGGCGGGACACCACACCCCGGGGGCGGTCTCCAGGGAAGCTGGCCTGCTGTCTCTTCTGGGATACCCACAGGTTCTTCAGCAAGCTGCTCTCCCTCCAGTAGTAGGCCTTCGGGACAGAGGCAGGCAGGTGAGGGCGCAGGCCTCAGAGCGGGTTAGTGGTTAGTGTGGTGGTAGTGACCGGTCTTCCCTTTGCTTGCCACAGGCTCCAAGTCCCCAATGGCCTCATCAGTTCCACAGAGGCCTGGGGAAGCAACCTTAGAGTCCCCACTCGGGGGCCACCATGAATATGAATTTATGTTGAACAAGAAGTAGCGTTTCACTCAATTTCTGAGCCATGCCATTCGGGGGAATGGGTAAATTGGCCAAACTTATATCTAGGCTGCCTCACTGGGAGATTTATTTCCAACTTGGGTAACATGTTGCTCAAGGAATCCATGCCAGAACCACAAGAGGAGCTGGGGGGTCCAGGCAGGGAACGTTCTGCTCTGTGCTTGAAGACCACATCACCTCGAGTTAGATTAGTAGAGTTTAGATCGCAGCAGGCAGGAACCRACAAAGAGCAGGTTAAACCTGGAAATCTGAATGTAAGCAGAGGGCAATTTAATCCTTTGAATTCAAACAGGTTTCTTTCCGTGTTGTTTGAAGGCTTTAGGGATGAGACGGACAGGTGTCCAAGAGACAGCTGCAGGTCCAAGTCAGTGGGGCGCGAGGTGGCTTGGATGGGACAGGATGGCTAAGGAAGGTGGTAGTGTTGGAAGGTGCAGTAGAGGTCTTATTAACAGCAGGTAAGAAGGCACAGGTCAGGCTGTCACAGCAGTGTCACCCAGGCTGCCCACAGCAAAGTAAGGAGGAAATCCAGATTTAGGGGGACCTGATGGGAGCTTTAGCCAGATAAATATGCAGCAGGACAGGGAAGGGTGCAAGTCGATGGTCAGGGAGGAGCTCATTCTCCTGGGAACGTCATCTTGCTTTCCTACCYGACCTGCCAAATTCATTTCCCAGGAAGAGACTAAGCCCTTCTGCCTGTCCCCAACTGTTCACCAGCCAACTCTTGAGGACCTCTGGGGAACCCAGAGTTGGCTGTGACAATAGGGAGGGCACTTGCACCCTTTCAGTGGCTTTGCCTGTTAGTGCCGACTTTCCAAGACCAGTCTGGGCAAGGCAGGGGGCCACCGGGAGGGGAGGGGTGTAGCTCAGCGGTGCCTCAACACTGCACACGGAGACATCTGTGTCCACTCACACATGTGACAGATACAGGTGCCGTGCAGTGTCAACCCAGACCCGCCATCCTTCATGGGATTTCTGCTCAGTAGAGTTTCTCAGCACATCTTTTGCAAGACACATCCGGGTAGGTGTGTACAGTCATAAGTCACCTGACAGTGTTTCGGTCAGTGAAAGGCCTCGTGTGTGTGACGATGGCCCCCTGAGGTGATGATGGAGYTGGCACAGTACCATCACCTAGTGTTGTCCTAGCTGTTGTAGTTCCCTCTCGTGTGTCTGTGGGGATGCTGGGGTAAAAGAATCGACTGCCAGCCAGGCACGTGAAAGTGCAGTACAAAGGACTCGATGAGCAGYACACACCGCTGTTACTGGCTTATGTATTTACTGTGTATTTATCATTATTTTATACTTTTTATCCTTTTCATTTATTAAAAGAAAGTTGATTGTAAGACAGCAGCCACGTTACACTGGCAAGAGCGCTTTCAGACACCTTGTATTTTTTGTACTTCTTTGTTGCATTAAGAGGCCATACTGAGAGTCTCACCTATACCATCTGGGTTTGTGCAAGTACTGTAYGATGCTGGCACAATGACAAGATTGCCTAATGACACATTTCTTAGAACATATCCTGTTGTCAAGTGACATATGACTGTGTGTGTATATATATATATATATTTTTTTTTTCTGGATGTATTTTTTAGCTGTAGTTGGACAYAATATCTTTATTTTATTTATTTATTTCTATGTGGTGCTGAGGATAGAATCCAGGGCCTCACACATGCTAGGTGAGTGCTCTACCTCTGAGCCACAATCCCAGCCCCTCTGGATGTATTTTTGAGCAGCTAATCTTGAATCAACTTTAGGTCCAACAGACAGCCCCAGGACCCCTTCCAAATARTCTATGCCCCGCCTCCGCTATGCCCTTGCCCTGGTTATTGTGCGAGTGTTAGGTGGAGTTGGGAGCCGGCTTCCTCACTCGGTACTCCCTGAGCTGGCCCTGGACCGTGTCGGAGTAGACGCGGTTCCACTGAAGGCTGATGGCCGTGCTGTTCAGGACTCGGATTTTAACTTCGGTGGGTGCAGCCCTGGGATCTGCAATGTGTTGGGACAGAGAGCAAGTTATACAGGCAGGGCTGGCCTTGGACTCTAGGTCTGGACACTGGGTACTGCRGGAGGGCAAGGACATGGTTCCTCCATCAGACTACACTGCCAGGAGGAGCAGGAGCAGGCTCAGGCTGGGAGGGACTCTGTCTCTATGTCTAGAGGGCAACTATTGTGAGGCTCTTGAGCTGGGCTCATCTGCCCCTCGGTTCCATTCTCCACCTTCCCCCACCTGCTCYGGGGCCTGGGAAGCCATGCTTCTGGAACATATCAGCTGAGCTCCTTGTTCTTGGGCTTCTGGATGAGTCTGGACAATAGGAGGTGCCAATAGGAGGTCCCAGAGCAGGAGGAAAGGGAGGGTGGCTTCCTCTTTGCTGGGCTGCAGATTTGCAGCACTGTACTCTTCTACCCAAGCTCCTGAGGGTGGGATCCTTGAGAGTCATGGTGACTCCTTCATCCCCTGTGCCATCAAGACTCAAGTGGCAAAATGGCTTCCTGATGTTGCTAGTCTCCAAGGAGGTTCACATACCTTGCTGTTGGCCCCTAATCCTGTCCCCCATAATCAGTAGTTCCTTTGGGGTGTGCATCTGTTTTCTACCAGCAAGAAATGTTGCCACAGGCTGGAGGTGATCTCACTTTAGTTGGGAAGGGACTCTGATCCTGCAGCCCCTTGGAAAGGCAGGACCACTCCTTTGCCTCTGTTCTCTGCTACACAAGGAAGTCTGTCCCCGCCCCCTCTAATCTGCCAGAGCACAAGCCCTAGTGCAGACAGCACAGTGGAAACCACAGAAGCTGCCTGGTTCACACTTACCAAGCAGCAGTCCCCACTGGACTTCTGTCTGGAAGTGTCTGCCACCCTCTGCTCATCTCCGGTGGGTCTGATCCATCATGTCCCCTAGGGCTCAGCCCTCACTTCTCTCCACTGCACTGCTGGAAGACCACTGGCCCTACACTGGGCCCAGTACTGCTCCTGCTGGGTCCACTTCCTCAGGACTGTCCTTCTTCCCTCCCTTCTGCTCACCCCATTCCACCTCCATGCGCTCAGATCCGAYACCGACCAAACTGCAGCATGAGCCYGGAGGAGACTCCACTGATCCTCTGCTTTGCTTGGGAGCCAGCAGGACTGATGTGCTGGGTCCAGAGAGGYACCAACCTTCTTCATACCTGTCTAGAATCTGGATTTACCCAGCACCAACTCCAAAGAACTCTCTTTATGCTCAATTCCAAGAGCTGGGAGCAGCCCTGGGAATGCTGGCAGCTGGCTGATCGGAAACATTCAGGTCTGTAGACTTCCCCAACCCTGCCCTGCCTGTGGGGAGAATCTGGCCCTTGGCCTGCCTCCTCAGAGGTGTTCACTCCAGTTCTTTGGGATAGTCCTCAAGTCTTTCCATGGCACGTCCACACAGCAGCCTGGCTGGGGATCTGGAGGCCTGGGTTCGAGTTTGAAGCCCGACATTTGCTATCACATACTGCTGGCTCTCTCTAGAGGGCCTCAGCTTTCTCATCCGTAAAATGTGAGAGCTGGAATAAGTGAGGATAGGAGGTAATCCCAACTAGAGTTCGATGGTGGTATTTCCACTCCTGATGTCATTGGGTGCCTGCATGATCTGGGCCACTGCAGCTGGTTCTCAGGAACCTGCCCTCCCACAACCCACCTCAAGGTTCCTGGCCTCAAGGGGGCCGGTCTGGGAGGGTCCTGCTGGGGAGGGGAGAGGGGGCAGGTACTCACAATCTTCTCCGGAGTACCCGATGACGGTGTCGGGCTCGGGGGCCTTCCCAAAGTCATTTTCAGCCTGGACCCGGATCTCATAGGGCACATAGACAGGGGTATGCCCCACCACATAGCGAGAGCCCCACACAGTGACRTTGTTCCAGGTCTCTCGAGTCTCTCTCCGCCGCCACTTGACAATGTAGCGCAGGTTGGGGCCAAAAGCAGAGGTGGCATTCATGGGCTGTAGAGGGAGAGAAAGATGGGCGGGCAGGGTGGAGAAGGTGCAGGTGAGGAGCCTGGTCCCCTCCTATGCCAAKCACCCTTCCTGGCCGACCTGGATCAGGAGAGCACACACTCCTCCCCTCCAGAGCTCCCCCAAAGACAGGAGTCCTAGAGATTCTGCAGCATGTTGATGGTCTATGACAAAACCCTTCCCTGAGACTCAGTCACTCTGACTCTGAGAGTCACCACATTTGCAGGCACAAAGGGAGTGAGAGCTTYATTATCAACAGAAGTCATCCTAGGACGGAAGCAGCAAGAATACAAAAGACGGACAGAAACAGGATCTCCAGAGTGAGAAAGGGACACGGGGTTTAACCGTGCCTGTCCCTTGTTGATGAACCTGAAATTACAAAACTGACTTTAGATCTACCAAATCCAGGTGCTCATCCTGACCTTCCCAACAGATAAGGGTTCTTTAAACATGGGTGCATCCTTTCTTTATTCTCTAAGGACCTGGTGCAGGAATCAGGTTCCCAGAGGCTGCCATGCAGAGCAGGAGGCCCAGGAGTCCTGAACCTGGGTCCAACCTCCTAGAGAGGAGCCCTCAGGGAGGCAGGGAGGATCACCATTCCCAGCGCAGGGACATCCTATTTGCATTGCAGGGGGCAGCAGCTCAGAGATGCTCATGTTTCAGTAGCTACATCTTTATCCCCCAAACTGGGAAGCCGTTTAAAAAAAATCATTTTGAGATCACATATCTTGATTTGGGGTTTGAAAATGCAGTCAGTGAGTCAAGATAAAGATAGTACTTGACCATCCTAAGCTGGTCAAGGAGTGGGAGTCTTTGGAGTGACCTAGTCCATGCTGTGGCTAGAAGAGGGCTTAACACACTGCACCTTAGATGCTGGTCTCCCCTGCACATCTACCCACGGCCAAGACTCAGAACACATCAGAGCTGGGTGCTGAGGTTTCATCTAGATCTTTCCTACAGTCTAACTCGAGTCCCTCCTTCTTCAAAAGAAACCCATTTGATCTTGCTGRATTCTCTGATTTTTCCTGGACTGGCGGTCTACAGGACTTGGTCACCTCTGATCCTGACTCTGCTTTGAAATCTTGCTCYCAGACACTTGTCCTGTTTGGTTTCTGGATGCTCAACTCAGAGAGGAGCTTGGTTTCTCAGAGAAGAGAGGCTGCCAACTCCAGCTCTATCTTCTGAACCACACTCTGGTCTCAGGGGGATGGAGAAGGGGCTGCCAGGTGYACATGGCCAGGTGAGCTGGCCCATCAAGGACGGGGGCGGGGGTGTTGGGAGAGGTTCTTACTGTCCACGTGATTTCCATGTTGTTCTTTCTGGTTCCTTCTCCCTTTACATCACTGGGGTTGGACTCAGGAGCTGGAACCAAACAGACACAAAGTTCAAGTCTAACTTGTTGCTTCACCAGGGCTCAGAAAGCCACCCCCCTCCCTCCCACCCGACTGGTCCCTTCTTCATTCYGGCTTTTCTCAGCCTCTTATACACTGAACTCACTCCGTCTTTTTCTCGTGTATGATATGCCTTCCTAACTAAGGCTTAAACTCCTAAAGCAGAGCTATTTCTTTTAAATTTAATCCCTTATCAGACTGCAATTAGCATAAGGCTTTCCATACTGCGGGTGGTCAATAAGCCAATTCAATKCGGATTATCCTGTTCATGGATTATCCACTAAATATGTTTCACACCAGATTGCTTTATCCCCAGCATTTAACATTTTGGGGGGAGCATCTCCAACCTCTATGAGCCGGTGAAATTTCAGAAATCTAAACATTACCCAAGTGCAATAGGAAAAGAAATCGGATCTAACAGTGGGTTATATATTTGTGCYGCACATATTTTGCCATAGCTCTCCCATTGTGAGTGGATGATCAAGAATCACTAATATTAATAATAAAAGGAGCAGTTAATATTCACTGTGTGCTTACAACACTCCGGGTATCACAGGAAGCACGTGACATGCCTTTTCTATTTTCTGGGTAGCTTAACCACATCCCCAACCCTTTTTTATATTTTATTTAGAGACAGGGTCTCACTGAGCTGCTTAGGGCCTCGCAAAGTTGCTGAGGCTGGCTTTGAACTCGCAATCCTCCTGCCTCAGCCTCCTGAGCGGTTGGKGTTCCAGGCATGCCTGGCCTGACATACATTTTCTAATGAGGGCCTCACCATAGCTCCAGGAGGCAGGTATTATTATTATTATTCTGTTTCACAGATAAGGAAGCTGAACCTTGGAGAGGTCAAGTAGCTCATCCAAGTTCACGGGGCTGGGAACTGGGGGAACTCAGTTTGTACTGAGAGCACCAGGTCCTGGGCCGTCTTGGGGAGCCCTCAAGTACTCACGTGCTCCACTGGTTCTGTAGCGCTCAGATGGGAGGCTGGGGTGGCTGCTCCCGACCTCGTTCACAGCAATGACCCGGAACTGGTAGTTGACATATGGGGACAGTTGGAGGATAGCTGAGTTGACACTGCCTGGGAACTTGGAATGGTCATGCCAGACCCCTGGTTGGAACTGGTCCTCTTCAAACTGGACCACATAGTCTGAGTGGGCAGGGAGGACGGAGCTGTTTCAGGAGCTGAGTCAGCAATGTCCTGCTTTAAAAACACCTCTTCCCTGCCTTCCATTAATCCCTATCCTCTCCCAGGTGGACAGTGGTACATGGAGAATCCTTCCTGGGTCATGGAAGGGAGCCAGGGCCCATGCCAAGTGGGTAGAGGTGGGACCAGACACCAGGGAACCTCTTGGTTCAAGGCTGTTACCAGCCCTCTTTTCTTTTTTTTTTAAATATTTATTTTTTTAGTTTTCGGCGGATACAACATCTTTGTATGTGGTGCTGAGGATCGAACCCGGGCCACACGCATGCCAGGCGAGCGTGCTACAGCTTGAGCCACATCCCCAGCCCAGCCCTCTTTTCTTTCTGTTTTCTTTTCCGTTTCTTTTGGTGAGATGCTAGGGTCTGAACCTCACACATGCTAGGCCAGCACTCTACCACAGAGCTATACTCCCAGCCCCTTATTTTGAGACAGGGTCTTGCTAAATTGCCCAATCTGGCCTCAAACTTGGGATCCTCCTGCCCTGGTCTCCCAAGTAGCTGGAATGACAGGCATGCTCTGCTGCACCTGGGACCAGTTCTCTTTTCTGGCTTTGGAGAGCGCGCAGGGCCCTGGGCTGACCTGTGATGGGGCTGTTGTTATCATCCCCCGGGATCCAGGTCAGCCTCACACTCCTCTCGGCCAGGTCGGTAAGCTCCAGGTCCCGGGGTCGGTCTGGCCGTCCTGGCAGCAGAGGAAGAAGACACCACGAAGGACTCCTGAGTGACAGCCGGCCCCTCCTTGTGGGGGTCCCGGCCCTGGACAGGTCCCTGATGGACTTAGGGTCTCTGCCACCAATGGGATCCAATTCCCCAACCCTGGAGGGCCAGCATGGGGACCATCCCATTTCCTCCGGGGGCCAAAGAAGAACAAAGAGGAGATTTCAAGTTCTACCCCCCTCCCCCAACGTCAAAGGATATGAGCAAGGAAATAAAGAGGCTCAGGCAGGGCACAGAGAGAACCAGGACCAGCCCATCCCGTTTCTGCAGGCATTCATGGAGAAGGCTGTCCTTTCACCCAGCCGCGGCCACATTAGGAAGGCTGACGAGGAGGTGCAGGGTTCTGTCTCTTTTTCTCACAATAATTACCCTCTGCTCTGTGTGCCAGGGCTCAGAGGGGACCAGAGCCCAGGAGGGGTGAGCTGGGCAGGGCAGACAGGTTAGGTAAGTGCGGAGAACACACTGGCAGGGAGGTGATGGAAACTTGGTCTAGAAGTTTCAGTGATAACATGTGGGACAGAGGAGCCCCAAAGGCTTCCAGACAGGATGTGGGCAGCACCTCCTGGGGCTCACTCTCCCTGGGATGGCTTTAGTGAGATGAGCACCATCTTGCATGGGGATAAAGCCATCCAGCTACTGGTGGGAACCACCGACTGGTGGGGAACAGGCAAGATCCCCCCAACCCTGCCATCTTGGCTCCCTGAGCCAGCTATTGCCATATTTTGGCTGGTTACAGGAAGAAGCTGGAAGGTGTGTCACGTGAGCCCTCATTAATGTGTGTGCACACGTGTGTCCAGATTGTGAGTGGATATACAGTAGCAGGTGTGGAGAGCTTGCAAAATGACGGGCCCACAGGTAGCAGTGGGTTTTCCAACTTTAAACACTTCCGAGACCAAGCTGGGGGAGGACGAGCCACCCTGAAGGAGAGGTGAGGGTGGCCAGAGGTAAGAGAAGGGGGGAAAGTGGCAGCCAAGAGCTTCTGAGCTCAGCTGGCCAAGGATCCCAGAGCGGGGCTGGATAGCGGATAATGGAGGCAGGGGGACGTGGACACAGAAAGGAGGCCATGTGTGGAGGGCCAGGATCCCCAGCAGCCATCCTTTCCTGAGGCACCCTCTGCTTCCCAGACTCCACTCTGGAGGGGCCTAGAAGGGGCACTGGTGAGGGCCCCTGATTAGTAAGAATTACCTTTGGGCAGGGCAGCCAAACGGTTAGTTGGAGTGGCCTGATCAGCTGCAACGGTAAGACAGGTTATCCAGGTTAGCAGGTTATCAGGGTTAAAGGTGTTCTGGAAGGACGGGCATGGGCAGCAGAGGCTCGACCAGCTGCCCCTGGCTGAGGTGTTCAGGCATGGTTTCCCCATCCCTGTCATGGAGGCTCCCCACCCCCCCACCCTCATTGAGGTCAACTGCGTATCCTCCATGGCTGGGGGTGGAACCTGTGCTTCCTTCCCGCCCCAGTCCCATCAATGTTCCAGCACCCACCACCACCAGCAAAGGTGCTCCTCCACTGTGGGACAGGAATACACCCTGGTTATGGTGGTAGGATGTCCAAAAAAAAAGAGGTCAGAGGTGATGAGGGCCAGCAGAGATCTACTTCCCTGGATGGGAGAGGTCACTTGCCCTTAGTTTACGATGATTTAGTATCTACTGTCCAGTCGGACACAAGGATAGGAAGAGATGGCATCACCTTGCTGAGTGTGTAGCATGCTCTGAAATGCCACCCAAAACCAGGAACAGCATGGGTGTGGAGAGGGCTAGCAGAAGTTACTGAAGGGCAAACTCAAAACCCAGCGTGGCTTTAGAGCTGGGTCATTTTAATGCACTTAGTGGTGTGACGTTAGCTGTAAGAGGTGACCAGGGTCATGAGAAGAAGCCCCCTCTGCACTTCTCTCTGTCACCCTAGCACCCTGCCATTGGGGTTCAGGGGAATTAGTATCCAAACTGTCCATCACAGCTTGTTCCCAAGGTAGCAGCTTCCTCAACCTGAGACCAGAAGGTGAGACATTACCACGCCGACCTCAGGTGTCACCCACAGAACTGCTGGGGCCCACTGCTTCTCTGGCTGCTGGGGAGCAGGGAGGAGGGGACATCAGTGCTGGTGCAGGTGGCAGCATTTACCCAGCACGGTGAGGTAGGCCTTGGCCAGATCTTGGTCCAGCTCCGTGCTGGCGACGCACGTGTAACTGCCCTGGTCCCGCTCTGCCACGCCAAAGATGGTCAGCGAGTCGTCTTCCTTCTTCATCCTGCAAGGTACCAAGGAGGGGTGGGCACTGGGCACTGAGGAGGAAGGAAGAGTGGGGCAGCAAGGCCAGGCTGGGTGGCCAYGGCTGCTGCCAGGGCTGTGGGGCTCTGCCTCCATGTGCTGCAAGAGGCAGGGTCTCAGAGTCACGGGAGCACTCATAGCATTCCACAGAGCGGGAGAAGACGTGGGTGGAGCTGCTGAGCTCTGTCCACTGCCCTCCTAGTCCACACCTGGCCTGTCTCTGTGCGTCCCTGTACTGCACAGCCCTCTCGCATCAGGGTGCATTAGGTCCCTGAACACCCGTAGGTGTCCTCCTCTTCTTGGGGCTTTGTCTCCTTTGCACCCAGGCTCCTGGAGGCCTCTCCCCACCACCCTGCTCCTCTGAACTGTCCCCTGCAAAGGGAGGGGGCCCCCAGAGCAGGACAGGATTATAAAGCTGTCAGCACCCACTGTCCCTGTCTCTAAATAAAAATACAAAATAGGGCTGGGGATGTGACTCAGTGGTCAATTGGCCCTTGAGTTCAATCCCTGGTACCCTCCTACCCGCCCAAAAGAAAAAAAAAACCACACCCAAACAAAACAAAACAAAAAACCCTGCCACTTATTGCAATGAACTTAGTGGGCTGGGGCCAGTGCTGCCCTCTCCTGGAGAACAGGAACACTGCAAACAGGGCTGAAAGGTTAGAGGTTGGGATTCAGCAGCAGACAGGGAGGGGGGAAAAGAGAAGGAAAAGGAGTGAGGGAGAGAAGAAATGAAGAAGGGGGAAGGGAGAGAAAAGAGGAAGAAGGGTGTGGGGGAGGGGTCTCCCCCAAGGACAGGGAGTCACCAAGGCCATCTCCCCCTCCTCAGTCGCTCCTTGGTGACAAGCATAACAAGCGAAGACAAAATGCCCCTCTAACTAAGAGCAGGAGGAGAGAAGGGAGGAACAGAAACCTGTTTCCAATATAGAGCGGCTCATCATCCTTCAGCCAGGAGACGGTGAGCTTCAGGGAGGGGTCGTGCTTCACGCGACACTCCAGCTGTACCGTGGTGCCCCTCTTGGCGACCTGGTCCTCGGGCATCCGGTAGATCCTGGTGGGATCTGTGGAGATGTCCAGGGTGCTCACGGTTGGCCAGTCCTCGGCCCGCCACCCCCATGTGGACAGACAGTGTGGCATGCCTGACCTTGAGGCCTCGGATCAGGCCACTGAAGGTGGTGGGAATAGTATGCACTTGTAAGAAAGGAGGAGGGGGGTCCAGTGTGGGCAATCAAACAATCCCCCAAATCCTTTCCTTCTGACTCAAGAACACAGATGTGATTTCTGGTGGTCGAGGAGAGCTGGTGTGAAGAGCAGGCTTCCTGTCCCCATGCCCCTTGGACCAGGCTGAAGTAAGCCCACTCAGTTGTCAGCGCCCGGGTCAGCTGGAAGCCCAGGGGAGGGCGTGCAGAGGCGCGCTGAGGAGCCCGCTCGGGCTGAAACACCACATGTGGGTAACCGTGAGCACAGCTTTTCCTCCTCACTCTGAGCCCCTCCCTACTAACTCTTTACCTTTGACCTCCAGGCGGACTTGGTTTTCCGCTTTGCCCAGGATGTTGGTGGCCACACAGGTGTAGATGCCTTGGTCCTCTTTGCGGATCATCTTAATTTCCAGACTGCCATTCTCATAGACATGGTAATTGCCACCATCCAGGTTGCTTCCTTGCCCATTCTTAAACCTCACAACAGAGCAGCGGAACAGAGCATCTGAGAAGGGACCGGCCAGGGGAGCAGGGCAGCCACCAGCTGGGAGAGATGGCGGTGGCAGCGGAGGGAGCCCCAGGCTAGGAGCCTGGGCCCAAAGCCTTGCAGGGTCTGCTTCCCATTGCCTGGCAGCCCTGGAAACTCTCGGCCCCTCTTTGGGCCTTGGGCTCCTTCTCTATAAAAGCAGTGGGTTGACCCAGACCAGATGACCTGCCATGTTCCTCCCAGCTTTGACCCTTTAAGTTTCCCAGGTCTGGCTGAATACCTAGTATGGGCTGCAGGGGACTCAGAAAGGTGAGAGAGATGACCTCTGCTGCAGAGGTCTCCTGGGACTTACCATCGCAGTGTGGGAATGGGAGACCCAAAGAACGGGCAGTCCAGCCGTGTCCGGTTGTAAAGAATAACTCTAATGAACTGGTTCCGGGGTGAGAGCATCCGAGGTGGGACATCTGAAATTCCCAGAGAACCGATCTTGGGTGTGGAGTCCCACTCTTCCACTCCTTCTTTGGTCCTATCTCTATAGCAGCTTTCGAGGAACCCACGACACTTTCCTCTATCAACATCTCCTCCTTCTAGAGGCTCCTAGAAGCCTCTAAGGATTAGGTGAGGAGGGAGTAAGCTAATACACCTGCCACCCTCGTCGACCCTACAGCTTGACCAGTTTCTGCGAAGTTTCCTTGAGTTATTCAGTAGGATCTGCAGCTGCCCCTCTGCAGCTCCGAGGCACCTGGTAGCTCCCCATTTCCACTGCCCTCTTCCCGCTGGGGGTGCAGCTGGGACCCAAGGCGAACTCACGGACTCGCCCTCCCTCCTCCGGGGAGCGGGGGGATCAACGCTGATTTCTCTGATGAACTAACTGCTCCCGTCCAGCTCTGTGGGGTGCACGCTTCCCCCACCCCTCTCCTCTTACTCTGCCCAGCCTGGCTGATCTCCAGAGAACAAAGTGCACCCCGTGACATGACTGGGCCCCAGGGAGCCTCCACTGTGAATGAGCAGATGTGGGGACAGCTCACCCAGCACACTGACGAAGGCGTTGGCCAGGAGGTAGCCGTGCTCGTTGGAGGTGTTGCACTGGTACACGGCCCTGCTGCTGATCTGGGTGTCTCGGAAGATGATGGTGTCGCCCGCCACCTCACGGTTTGGGTTGGGTGGTGCCGCTACAGATAAGACAGGGATGCTCCTTGTGAGATTTGGAAATGACTGGAGCAAGGGCACGGGGACTCTGTCCCCCTGCCCTTCCTGAGCATCACTGGGGTGACGTGGAAGAGGGATCCCTGGATGGGACCGAGAAGACATGGCTTCTGACCTCATCATGGCTGAGCCCTGTGACCTTGACTCTCCTACAGAGGCTTCTCAATCCATCCAGCGGTAATACATAGCCCTGCTCAACCCAAATAACAGCTGGGCAGGTGTGCTGGAGAATATAAGCTTTGGGAATAGAACTTGTTCTCCAACCCTTTCATGTTCAGTTTTCTGGTTTGCAGTATAGAGATAACACATTGCCTGGCGGGGTTTTTGTGAAGGTAGCCTGAGATGTATTCGTGTATAAAGGAGCAGCGCTCCAGCAGTAACTAATTATTATTATGGCTATTATCATTTAATTTCAACACACATAAACTTAAGTATGTTTTGAAAAGGATAAAGCCATTCACAAATGGACAGGAACTACCACCTTCCCATCCCCTAAGCAGGGGCATCTCCAAACACGCACAAAGTTAAACCCATCATCAAACTGAAAGTCCTTCTGTTTGCCAAAGGCCCCAGGTCTTCCCAGACAGAGTACGTTCCTGCCCACAGTTCTCCAGATTCTGCTGGCTTGGGGTGCAGAGAGCAGAGGCTGCGGAGTAGCTGTGGTCTTGATCCTGTTGACAATGGCTCTGGGGCCTGGGCAAATCAACAAATGTTTCCGGGCCTCATTTCCCTCACTTCTAAAATGAACTAAGCATTACTCCCATCATCCCCCTACTTTAAAGAAGAATAAGATAAAAAAAAAGAAAAAAAATCAGCTATAAAAGTGAAAGTTTTCTAGGAATGTAAATAATGGCCATTTCTCTCTCTCTCTTTGGTACTGGGGAAACCCAGAACCTTACACATGTTATGTAAGCACTGAGCTATGTCCCCAGCCCCTTTTAAGATTCCATATTGAGACAAGGCCTTGCTAAGTTGCCCAGGCTACTTTTGAACTTTCGATCCTCCTGCCTCAGCCTCCCAAGTAGCTGGGATCACAGGCATGCACCACCGTGCCCAGACACCTTTCTGAACTTTAACCACTAGAGCTTTCTGGACTAGAGAGCAATGACTTGGCTGGCAGAATCCATGAGCTCATTCAGGACCACTGAGATCGACAAGGGAAGCAGGCAGAGGAGGCTGCAGGAGTCTGGCCCTGGGGCGCCACTCCACAGACAGTGAGTCTGGGCCCAGAGCTGGGGAATCAGCAGAAGGTAAATAAAGACAAGGTCAGCATCCTTATGAGCCAGTCCCAGCCCCATTCAGCAAATGGGCACCAAGGGAGGCCATGCCAGAACCCGAATGCCTCCTTGCAGGCCATTCTTAGGAAGCCAACTCTCCTCCCAGACACTCCTCTGGGGAACTCCCTGGAGAGGGTGAAAGGTGATGTTTTTGGGGCAGTCTTGGGCTGCATTTATATAACAGTGCTGTGGAACCTAGTGTCACTGCCTGTCTTGCCCTCAAATGCTTTAAGGACAGAAAGGGCCACGGGGGACAGGCTGTGTCCATCTTTGCTTGTGACCAGGGCAATGAGACTTCTTAGGCTGGTGCAGGGGTAGCAGCCTCATGGCAACCCACAGCTTCCCCGCTGACTAGCCTAGCGATCTGGGATCCTTCCCTGCACCAACCAGAACCTTGATTCCTCACCTTTAATGTGTGAAATGAAAAGAGAAAAGAAGGTGCAGCACCCAGCCCAGACACACAATGTCTACAGGGGTTTAGCTCGCCCATCCACCTGTCCCCTCTGCCTCTCCCCCTGCTCCTGTCAGCTGCTGCTCCCGAGTCAGATTCAGAGTTCTCAGCCCCACCTGGTTGATATCACTGCTTTCGTTTCCTCTGACCCCTTACAGAAAGCAATGACTGGATATTTTTAAAAAAGTAAAAGCAACTGGCCAGGTGTGGTGGTGCATGCCTGTAATCCCAGCAGGTCGGAAGGTTGAGGCAGGAGGACCGCGAGTTCAAAGCCAGCCTCTGCAAAAGCAAGGTGCTAAGCAACTCAGTGAGACCCTGTCTCTCAATAAAACATGCAATAGGGCTGGGGAGGTGGCTCAATGGTCGAGTGCCTCTGAGCTTAATCCCCAGTACTCCCCGCCCCCAACAAAAAAGGAAAACCAACTGAAGGGAATATGATGTGCGAATATGACCAAGATGACCAGCTGGAAGGGGCCCTGGAGTTCCCGCTCTGCCCATCTCAGTAGGACTAAAATTTCCTAAAGTTTATGCCTACTCAGTAACTGCATCTGTGTAACTCTCCTGTCACTGGGGAAAGTTCTTCCTCATATCCAACATAGTCTTTCACATTTTCATATACCCTGCCTCTTATTTCGCCCTTATCAGAGATGGAACTTGATTAACCAATGACAAGGGGCTCCTGGACTCCCCTCTATGTTCCATGTCCTGGTTGTCACTCACAGCTGAACCTTCAGAGATGAAGCTGCAGTTCCCAAACCCTAACTGGGACCCTATAGTGGATACGGGGCAGAAAGCAAAAATTTAAGAAAAACCCATGAAATCCCCTAAACATGGGAAATAATCATGGGGCTCCCATTCTCTCTTGTAAACAGATAAGGCAGGTTTCTTGCCTCTCCAGATGTCCAAACAGGCTGCAGGGACAGCCAAAGGTTACTCTTTCCCTCCACTTCTACAGCATCCGGGCTGGCCTGCAGGGAGGGGGCTCTGGAACCTCGGACAGGCCAGGCAGGAGCACTGGGTGCACACCAACTTGCTACTCACATTGCAAAGGTTCCCCGTTCACCATCCACTGGACAGTGGGCTTGGGGTTCCCATTGGCTCGACACACCAGCCTCCCATCCTCACCAGGAGCCAGGATCAGGTTCTTGGGTTCATCCAGCCAGTAGGGAGCAGCTGGAAGACAAGGCGGGCACAGGCAGGGGGAGTTAGATGGCAGGGGCAGGCAGGAGACACCAGGTGGGCGCCCTGAAGGAAGGAGGAGCTGGAGGCCCAGCTGCAGGGCGGCACCACCTGCCCCAGGTGCACTATGACTGCAGTGGCGCGGCCCAGCCTGCATGTGGTGGGCTTGGCTGCACCAGCCAATTCATCTATAGGAGTTCACAGAATAGTACTTCTCATGAAAATCCCTGGAGCACTTTTAAAAACCCATCAGGACAACCTAATGGCTGCTGGGTTCATTTTAGGCTACCAGACCATATTCCTCAGGGGAGGCTCAAGTGGCAATGCTTTTAGAGATCACTCATATTTATGATGTGCACCCAAGGGTTCGATCCACTGCCCTGCGTTTGTCCCTCTGTATTTCTGTTGTTGCCAAGTCAGACCGTTTAGGAAAGGCCTTGTGTTCTTTCAGGCACTGCACTTTGGTGAGAGCAGTTCTGAGTAGTTGGCCACCCCTTTCAATTGTTTGGACAATTTTGAGAATGAGGGCATGTGTGGATTTTTGTGAGCAAGAGGATCTTTGCATTAGATTCTCAAAGATCTTTTCATCCTCCCCACTCCCCCATGCTAACAACCTCCTAGTCTGTTTGTGGGGCTGAAGCCAAGCCAGAGTCATGAGATCCACTAACTGTGTGCTAAGAAAGGTCTTGTTCTCTGGCCTCCAATCTCATCATTCCAATCATCCATGYAGCCCAGGGCTGAGAACTGACTCCTGCAGCCCACCGCCCATGGCTGGGCTCCATGAAGACAGGTGCTCTACTGCCTGCAATAGCTCAGGCGGGCCATCTCTGTTTTTAGGAGAGGGAAGCAATTTAAAATAAAAATAATAATTTTTGACTACAATGTGACTCCCCCTTCTTAAAAAGAAGCACAGCATTATGCACAGATACACAGACAAGCACAGGCTAAGACGACAAGTCACAAACGGGAATGCAAAACGAAAGAAAGAAAAGGCTCTGGGAATGATCCAAATGGGCCATGGGAGGAAAGTCACCTGCTGAGGGAGCCCCAGCGCCAGGGAGAGTTGGTGATGGTCCAGGTGGATCCCCTTCCCTCAACCCCCACTGCACATGCGTGCATGCACACATGTGCACACACACACACACACAAGCACTATGCATGCAGACAAGCCCCACATCCAGGGAATGGCAACTCCTGTGGCAGGTCACAATTGCCACTAACCAGTGCACTGACGGTTCCCCACTCACCCTGCCCCATCCCCGCAACCACCCTCAGAGGGAAGGGTGGTCATGGTGTTCAGGGTTGGCAAAATAATCATAATGAGAAATACACACAACGTACCCTTCACTCTCACCGAGATCGTGTGCCGGATGCTGCCCATCTTGTTGGAGGCCAGGCAGAAATACTCCCCAGAGTCTTCCTCGGACACATTGGTGATACGCAGAGCCTTGTTAAAGTTCTCAAACTTGGCCTTGTCAGATGGGAGGTCCCCACCTTTCTTGTACCACGCGATGTCTGGTGTTGGGCTAGTAAAGGAACCAAGCAAGAAATAGAGACATTGTCATTAAACATGACCCTTGCCTTCCAGAGAGCCTGGGACAACTGGTGTCCTAAAAGGAGGGTACATGTCCACTAAGAGCTGATCCTTCCCATTCAGAGGAGGATGCAATGTTCCTGAGAGCTCAAGGGACTTAGCTGGAATCTTAAAGCACACGTGGGATGCCTGACCATCTCCTTTTCTCCTTTTCAGAAACAGGGATGGCAGAATGACTACGCAGATGGAGTGACCAGGATCTGTCAAGCTCTGCTCACTGTTTGCCCCCACTTTCGCTACACTAATGGTATGTCCCCCACAGAGGCAAGAAGAGAACAGGGACAGACTCCCATCCCACCCTCCAGAAGGTGGCTGGAAGCGGGGTGCCAAGTGTACGTACACCCCAGAAGCGATGCACTCCAGCAGGAGGTCCATGCCGCGGAGCACCATCTGACTGCTCGAGGTACCCTGGGGATACATGAAGCTGGGTGTTCTCTCTGCAACTCCTCGGGCTGAAACAGGATGGAACAAGCTCCCGTGAGCCTTCTGCCCAGAGGGCTGACCTGGGTCGGCCAAAGCTGTCGGGCTAGAGAAATGTCACCACAACCCCTGCTGGATCCTCCCCGCCCAAACCACCCCAAGGACCAGGACATCACTGAGAGGTTAGGAAGCTCTGGCTCCTCAGCCACACCAGCACATTGGTGTGACCAGCTCTAAGTTCTGAAAGGATCTGCCAAGAGGAGCCCATCTTCCCCAGCCCAGGAAACCCCCCCTTCCCTGGAAGGGGAGGGGGCTGACTGAACAGCGAGAGGTCCACTCCAGGAGCATCTTGAAATCCCAGAGGCCACTGCGGGTAGCCCCCAGGGCAGGCCATCTCAGCAGTAGTCCTTCCTCCCCAGACTGGGATGTGGGAGAAAGAGGAGGCATGAACTGGGGCCACAGGACAGACACACTGCTCTCTGGGACCCTGAAGACAAGGAGCTGGGACGAAGCCACAAAGCCCCAGATAAACAGTCAGACATGCAGGGAGGGGTTATTAATGGCTTAGCAAGGACATGGAGAGAATTAATGAGCAGAGATGACAGGAGATCACTCTGAGGCCAACACCATTCTGCCTCCCCACTAATGACTTTGGAAGGGGGCTTTGGGGGGGTGTTAATTGCATGTGAGATACTGGGGGGAGGGGGAGAGGCAGCCCGAATGGACAACTAGGCTGGGGCAGCCAGGGGTCTGAAATCAACGAAATTCACGCACACTTTAAAGGCCACGTGGCTCACAGATTGACATTATCAGGAAGCTGGTTTCCCTGTGGAAGGGGTCAGGCTGGTGTGGGTGCTTCCAGAGTGGGCCCCATCTGACCTGGGCCTTGCCCCTCCCCCACAGCTCTTTGTGCAGTTCCATGGAGATGGGTAAGATGGAGAGAGAAGAGCAAGGATTTCCCAATCAGGCAGCCCCAAGGCAAAAGGGACACGGGAGGAGGGACCCTCTGCCCCAAGGTGTGTGATTATAAAGGAGCTATAAGCTGAGCCTGCACCTGGGTTGAATGGGTCTTAGGCTTGGTTGGGAAGTGGGAGGTGGGGGGACGGCAGAGCTGCCCAGAGCTGGGAGCCCCCAGAGATGCCTGGACTGAGAACAAAGGCATCCATCCTAGGGCTTAATTGGCACTGGCAGAGTGAGGATAGATGGCGGGCGCCTCTGTCTCTGTATAATTGGTGCTTCCTAATGGAGCTTTCCGGGGTAGCCATTGCCTGGCTGGACCAGGGGCTTCCTGTCCTAGAAGTGTTCAGCTTCTCTCCATTAGCCACTGGGGAGTGAATCTTGTAGGGTTTGCTTCTAATTTATCTTTCTGTCAAGGGAAAAAAGGATGACACATATCCTGAGGTACCGAGGCTGCTGGCACAAACACAGCACATAACAAATGCTCATTAAATGTTTCAGAATGAGTGAATTAAAGGGGGTGAAGGGAATAAAAAAAAGAAGGAGACGATGTACCCTGAACATTCTTTCTCTTTCTGTAGATGCCTTCCTCTGTCCCACCAGCACACACACAACCGTGGCTACCGAGGGGTTAATCCATTATGTGGTTAATGGGTTACCATCGACATCTACAGCTTTGGTAGCATCCAGCTCTCAGGCCCAAGGAAGCCGACCCCAAAGCAGGTGCTTCCTCCCACCCATCATTACAGAGTCACCAACACAAGTCAAGGCAACACAAGGTCAAGGGCACCACAAGGAGGACATGGCAGGGCAGGAGGCTTTCAGATCAGGTGGGAGCTGGGAGCCCTGTGAGGATTTGGAAGATGCCCAGCTCAGTCGTTATACTCATTCCATGAAGGGACCCTGTGCAGAAACCAATCTGTGACTCGGTGGACACTTAATCACACCAGAGCAGGCGGCACCACAAACACGCATGACCAGCGAAGCAGTGAGGACGGGGACGAGGGAGACCAGCACAGAGTCCCACTTTGGGTGCCATGACACTACAGCTGTGACTATAAAAAGGCTATCACGACACCGCCCTGTAGGATGTGGGCTAGCAACACAGAACTATCTCAGGGACGGAGACACTACTGGGAAGTAGGCCAAAGTTCAAAAGAAAAGAAAGAACACCCTAAAAAATCAGAGGTAAAAATCGGGGCCACCACTTGGTAAGCATTTATTAGGGGTCAACGGTGCCGGCGACTCCATCTGCGCCAGCATCATGTGGAACCTCGCTATAAATGTGGGGGCATTACCCCATCTTTTATCAGAAGAAATGGAAGTCAACAGACTTGCCTGAGGTCACAAGCTCGTTATATTCTGGATATTTAGCATCAAAACTCATGCTCCTATGCTAAATTGCCACTGTGTCTAAAGCCGGAGACCCCGCTTGTCCTTACTTCTGATGGACAATTTTTGGAATATCTTCCTTGAGGGCAAAGGAGGTGAGGGGGAAAGATCTTATTGTCTGTGAGCTGCTTTGGTGGGACTCTTCCACTACGCTTTACTCCTCTCACGGTCTCAGCTAAGCTTCCGTCTCTCCTCGTGGGTGTTAGGTAACCTCAGGCCCACARTGGCATTTGAGCTGGATTCTGAAGGGCATGGAAAGCTTGCCGAAGAGCCAGGGTGACACACGGGATCCTTAGGATCAAGAAGGCTGGCGCTAAATGGAACGTTACAAAGAAATGTGGCCAGTTGCAACGGGAGGAATTGACATGAAAATTTAGGAATGATGATCCAGTTGGTGGCTTTGGGAGCCACTGTTCCCAAGCCAGGGTACCTATTTTTTCTTTCCCGGAGTAGACACAGGTGCCAGTCATCACCAAGACAAATGTAAATTACTGTATGAAGTTGCAAGTGGTGGCAGATGAGTGTCTCTTCATGGAAGCATGGATCCTTCGAGAGCACGTCTGTCCTCACAACGCTCCTGTTACTCTTCCTGATCTTGGGAGTGGGGTCTCACCTAAAACCTAACAAATCTCAGAATCTTCCAGATACTATAGCTCACATCTGCATGGATTCAGGAAGAGCCTCCCACATGGGCCCCTCTGACCTCCACCCAAGGACAGCCGGTCCCCTCCTGCTCTCTCAAAAGCTGTGTCAGAGAGGGCTCATGGGTCTCTGGGGGCACATGGTCAGCCAGGGGACATCAGATGCTGCTGCTGCCTCAGCCATATTGATGTTAAAGGTCCAGTAAAAAATGGCTTCCGATTGTGTCCCACAGGAAGAAAGGTCAAGAGTGCTGACATAATTGTTCCCCTGTGTCACTGCATGGCAGCAGGACGAGAGAGCCTAACAAATCAGATACATCTGAGGACTTTGGCCAAAAACAGCTTTTAGGGGCAGCTGGATCCTATACCCACATGCTTTGCTGCCTCTGATTCTGAGAACTGAGAACCAGGGACTCCTGGGGCTGTGTTGCTGGCATCCGTCTAACTCTTTGGCTCTAGGAATGGCTGACCAGGCAACTCCACGAGATGAGAAAACTGTTTGCCTAGTAACATTTGATACCTCTCACTGCCAGGAAATTTCTTCCATAAATCTAACTCAACTCCCTCACACAGCACTTGGGGCTTTTTTTCCCCCTCAGTCTCAGACAATTTTTATTTCTTTGGTCTGCCCTAAAATTTCCCTCTGTGTATACTTTCTTCCTACATGTGCCTGCCTGTCTCTCCCTGTCTTCTTTTCAAGTTCTCTGTGTCCTTCTTAACTTTATAGACAGATGAGCTATGCATGACACAGTCAATATGACTCCCTTCCCTTTAAAGCCAGCAACGTATGTCATTGATGTAGCATTGGTGATGTGTCCAACACCTGGCTAGGAATCACACATCTATTATCCTGATTAACCTTCACRACCATCCTGGGCCAGGTGTGGTGACTCACGCCTGTAATCCCAGCCGATCCGGAGGCTGAGGCAGGAGGATTGTAAGTTCAAAACCAGCCTCAGCGACTTAGTGAGGCGCTAAGCAACTCAGCGAGRCTCTTGTTTTTAAATAAAATATAAAAAAAGGGCTGGGGATGTGGCTCAGTGGTTAAGCGTTCCTGGATTCGCTCCTCAGTACCAATCCAAACCAAACAAAAAACCATAACCATCCTGGGATGTCATTTGACAGGTAAGGAAATTAAAGTTCTGAGTCATTAAAGGGCTTACCCAGTGTCACTCAGTGACATGTCCTGGAGCCTGGGTTTAACTCGAGGTGGTCTCCCTCTAAGTGCCCACTCTCAGCCACCTGCCCTCCCAAGTGGCCTCCGTATCACTGYGGCAGGTCAGGGGGCATCTGGTCCATGTTCAGAGGCTTCCAACCCACTGGCTCATCAGAACAAAATAGAAGTATGGGGTCGCCCTACCACTACAAGAGACAGGCTGACTTCAAAGCCCAATAGAGAGAAGTTCTGGGCAGTCGCCATAGATGATGTCTCTGTCCAGCTCTCTGCACTCAGGAAGGAACTTTCTCTTCCTTCCTTTTGTACTTCCTGTTCCTTTCTAGAACCATCAGCCTAGCTGTCCTGTGTTCAACGTGTGCCTCATGTGGACTTGATGTCTTTTCCAGCAGCTTCGTACTTGGGTTACCCCTGACCCACCTTGGACTGAGGGCTCGGGTCAGTCTTCATGTGAGCTCTGTAGGTGCCAGCATCCTGGGGGATTCTCACAACTTCCATTGATTTTTCTGGTAATAATCTCAACTACTGGTTCCAAATTGGTTGAAGTGGCTGGCATCACTCAACCTTATGCCGTTGATAAAATAACAGGTTTCCTTGCAGAGTCTATAGAAAGCAAGGAGCTTGGACCAGATGGTCTCTAAGTGACCCTTCTGACTTTGATGTACTCTGGCATTCACAATACTTCCTCAAATCGATTGGAATTTAGAAAAAGGCATATTCTGTATTAGTGCTCGGGGGCTTTTGACACAATAGTGATTGGCCCCGTTAGCTTGAAAACAAACAATTCTCAGAATCCAACCAAGGTCCCCTGCTTCCTTAGGCAGTCAATTTCTCTGGCAGAATCTCAGTGCGGTTCTAGTTTCCTGGT